GATTGGGGGACCACAGACTCTGGAGTGGATGTTCCAGGTGCTGCTCTGCCTGACCTGCCTTCCTTCAAGGGCGCCCCCTGGTGGCTTCATCAGACTGTCCCGCCCCCATTTTACCATGGAGAAATGCAGGTGCTGTGAAGGGAGCCATGGTTGGAGCCCCCTTCCCAGGCTGGGAGTGTCTGGGATTCAGGCCTGAGCTGCTGATCCCCAACTCTCAGGGGGAGGAGAAGATCTGAAGGATGGACACCAGGAAGGGAGAGGGAAAGCCTCAGGGCCTTTGCATTGACTTTTTAAAGATGAATATAGGGTTTTTGTACCTGCAGACAGCTTCCGTGGTGGGCACTGAGCCAGGCACAGAGAGTCCATCATCTATCTTCTATGCTCACCCCAGACAGCAACGAGTCTTGTGTCTGGGACCTGAAGCTGAGGTGGGAGCATGTTTAGCTAACCTTCCTCTCTTTGGCCTAAATTGGGCCTGTGCCCTGGTCCCCATGAGTGCAGGGGAACCTTGGGTGAGGTTTCTCCTCGCCCTCGGAGGGAGGCAGCAGGTTAGCCCTGAGATGGTGGAGGGGCCGCGGTGCATGATACACCCCCTTCTCACCCCGGACCTCAGTCCCTTGCTCCCATCACCAAGCCTCGCACCGCGGCTTCTCGGAGCTCCGGCGGGCACGTGTCCTGACTCACTACCCCAGTCAGCAAGTGGGGAGAACACACACCGTCTCTCACATTCTTGAAGATGTGGGGGCACTCAAGACTCTGAAAGCCTCCAGCCTTGTCAGGGAGGCTAGCTGGGCCTACACCAAGCAGCATGAGCAGCGAGGAGCCCCACACCATCACCCAGACCCCTGGTCCTTTTGTGGGTGGTCCCCAAGAAAGCCACAGAGCGTCTTGAAGCTGGATGAGAGAACGTCTCAGCTATCTCGGCCTCGTCCGATGCAGCTATGAGCCCAGTGCACCAGCCCTCTGTGACCCTGACCCCTGCCATGCCCTGGGCCCCCTGCCCTGGGCCACACCCCCTGCTCACTTCCTCTGGCTGTTGGCCTTCTCTGTGAGCATGGCCCTTGGGGGAGCTGTGGCAACCCCAGGACAGCCAGGCCCCCCACAGGTTGGCTCTGCCCCTGAAGGGCCTTTTGTGCTGCTGCTAACCTGTCAGCTTGCTGAGAGTGGCCCACACTCTCCACGTCTTCCCTCCATCCCTACGGCATACTCACAGATGTCTGGGGCAGCAGCAGGACACACTGGGAAGCTAGGAGCATTGGACAGACCCAGGGCTCCATCCTGGGCTTTGCTACTTCAACATCACCATCACCATCAATTTCTCTAACCTGCTGAGGTTTTGGTGCCAGGAGCCGTGTCAAGTTTATGATCATGAGTCTATACTCCATTTTATAGAGTGGATGACTGAGGCATGAGTACTTCACCTACCTCAAAGTCCTTGCTCACATGATTCTTCCTTAGGGAAGCCCACCCGGCCTCTCTCCCTACTTACAGTGGTATACCACCTCCATCCAGATGCCCCCCAATTGTCAAAATACTGCCCCCTGCTCTGGGCGCTTGGCAGCTCTGGCACACTGTATGCCCATCTTCCCAGGGCTATTTTGCAGGGCCTGTTGGGCACAGCCAGGGCAGGGATTGGGCCAGGAGAGCTCACAGGTAACTATGCCACTAGCCCTGAGCCCAGTATACAGCAGGTGTCCAGGGGGGCCTCAGGTGTCAGCGATTTGCAGCCCTCCCAGAGCCCAGGTTGTGGGATTGGGCAGCTGCTGGCCTCAGGTGCAGTGACTAATCGCAGCCTGGGTGAGCTTGGCCTTCTCTCCCTTTGAGCCTCAGTCGGCCGGGAGTGAAGACAGCCTGACCACAGTGATCTGTGGGGTGGGGTGAGGACAAGTGGGGCCAGAGGTGTGAAATTCCTGGCAGGCAGTAGGCACTCTGCCAGCCCGAGGACTTGGCATCTCTTCCTGCTTTGAGATTCTCCGGGCAGGCTCCCCTTTGACATGGCAGCCCCTGCAGTGGAGAAGCTGCCGAGGGAGGGCCCCATGTTACCTGCTCACGCTTCCTGTCTTCCTTATTCCTCCTTCCTGGATGTGTCTGTTGCTAAGGAGACGCTATACTGGTTCCAAGTAAGGCCCTCTTGTGTCCGGGATCCTTGGTTGGGGGATATTGGGCTGGAATCTTCTGGAAGGATTCAGCTGGCTCCCCAGGGAAAAGGAAGCTTTCTCTTTCTGTCTCCACTGGGCTCCTGAAGGTTGGCGTGGGCCACAGTCTGGTGACACAGGACTGGGTGTGATGCCCAGACCCTGGGAGGGGCCATAGCAGCCAGAGTGACACAAAATCAGACTCCTGGCCCTCAGAATGGCACCTTCCCAGAGCAGGACTGGCAACGGAGGTGGAACTGGAGGAGGCCTGGGGGCTGACTCACGGGGGCAGGGGTATGCTTGTTGCAAGCCACGCCATCTCTTGCAGGTTGGACTGGCTGCCGGGAGGCTGATCTTGGGTCTCTGGGCTCCATCTCCCTTTGACACGGTGGCAGGAGATGCTGACTTCTGTGGACACCAGCTGGCCGCCCTGGGTCCAGGTAGGAGGCAGTGTGGTGGTTGTGGGCATGAACCACAGTGCCAGGGGCTGAGATCCAGTTGCTCCTCCTCTGTCCCCACTGTGCAACCCCACTTCCACTCGGCTCATCTGTCAGACTGGGCTCCCGCAAGCCCTTGCCTCTCATGAAGGTTGAACACATAGATTTTTGCAAAGAGCCTGGGCCGCGCCAGACGTTCCCAGCTCCCTGAGTGGGAGTCTTCAGCTTTGTTTGAAGGAGCACACACCTGGGAAGAGGGAGGATGCTCAGACAGCATGGAAGTGGCGGCTCTACAGGGTGAGACGTAGCTGCTGCTTGCCCTATGGGGGACCAGCCCCACCGCAGACACGGCCCTCTGGCTCAGCTTGTTGCCTGATCTGAAGATATTTACTGTTTGTGTCACAATTCCAAGTCCAATAAAAGTTCACAAAGACTCAGCAGCCCAAGCAGGGCTTGAAGATAGAGAGGAAAATAAAACAATATGCTGTGACTGAGATGGCAAGGCGAGGGTTTGGATGCGCCCCGATTCCCCACCCTGGGCCCTAGAAGAAGGAGGATGGAGATGCAGAGCCCAGCTGGCTTGGATGGGGCTTTGTGCCCACACACTGTGGCTGGTTTGTACACTGAACTTGGGCACCTGCTGCACTCCTGGGCTGCGCCCTGGTCTCTGGGGCCTGCGGAGTTTGGTTGGTCCAGGAGCCATGTCCACTGCATCTTTCAGGCTCTTAGTTCTTCCAGCACAAGCATGAAAGGGGCAGAAAGCTTGACCTTGTAACTGGAGGTCACCCTGAAGTCCTTGGCAGGCTGTCTTCTTCCTTGTCCCTCCTCTGTTTCCTTGTCATTTGGGGGAACTTTTGGGGCTTTGTCTTAACTCACCATCTCATACCCACTTGTTTATTTCCAAACAGGTAGCAGCTTCCAGAATGAATGGGGTGGGGGGAGTTGGCTACACCACAGACCAGATGATGTGGTGGGAAAGGGGTCCCATCCCAGGGAGGGGCCAGCTGTGACCTTGGGCAGAGGGACCTTGGTCATCTCTGGGGTCCTTTCAGATCTTCAGTTCGATCTCAAGAATCCAGGGGTGGGCTTGGTGGAAGTGGAGTGACTTTTAAGTGGGTACACTCTTATTCAGAGAAGTTGTAACGGTTTTCATTTCAAAACTTTTCATTTACACTCCTGTTCCAACTGTAAAAACAGCACTAGCTACGAGAAACTCATATTTTGTGATTTATTGGGAATATTATTACGGTATCAGGAAATAGGATTTTTTTGTGTTAAATGTGTTTTTAAAAGGCTTGCTGCATTCTTAAGTGAGATTTTATTATATCTTGGAGCGACTTTTCCTTCCGATGAAGAACAGATCTATGATTTATCAGGAGCCTCTACGACCCAGGATGCTGGAGATCACATTTTATGCCTTTGCACCTTTCTTGGGGTCTGTGCCAACCACAGGGGCTTCCTGAGTCCTGGGCATATTGCAGAGTCCATGTTGCAAGGTGCTTTCTAGAAATCAAGCTAACCTGAGACTAGAGTGGGCTCAGTCACACACAGGAGTCTTGGGAAGGAAAGAGCCCTTCGAGGACCATGAGCCCAACTCTCCTGATCAGATTAGGGAAGCTGGGGCCTGGAGGGGAGGAACTGACTCAGTGAAGCCCAGGTCTGTCCCCTTGCTCCTCCTAAACCTTGACCTGGTCCCTGCCCTGGCCTGCCTCCCAGACACGGACGCTGCTGCATGAGCCTGCGCCCTGTGCAGGCCTGCGAGTGTTTTCTACAGTAGGACTGGACTTTCCAGCACTGCCTGGTGGATGGGCTGCAGCTCATTCGGCATTCCCCCAGCATCCACCTGCCTGGACAACCTCGTCTGTTTTCCACCAGCTAAGTGCTAATATCTGGTACAGAGGTTATTGGCATGATTTCTCTAGAAAACAGGCTGGAAGATTAGCAAGTTCAAACTTCTTCTTTTTTTTTTTTTTATAATCAAGAATCCCAAAGGGGTACCTGGTTCTTTCCCACCACCCCTGACCAACCCTTGTAAGACTTTCTCTACCACAGGAAGTTGGGGTGCACAGGCCAAGCCAGCGGGCACCAGGCACCTTCTCCAAGCAACTGCCTGGGAGCCATCTTTGTTAGTGGGCAAACGAGAAGCTCATGAGACACTGGCAGACACCAAGCAGACAGGCCCCTTGGGATTCTTTGGAAGGACTGAAGTGGGGAGGGAGGTCTTTACTTTTTCTGTTTCCTTAGAAAATATGCAAAAAAAAAAATAATAAAAAGGCTTCACCAACAGCACAGTGGCACCAACATCTCCCTTTCAAAAGATGGTACCCCCTGCTGGCTAGACACGAGGAGCCTGCAGCGGGATCTACTGGGCGTGGAGAGAGGCAGCCGCGAGACACAGCTTTCCACAAAGGCCGTTAGCTCTGTTTCGTTTTTCCTTTATTGATAGGATTTAAAGTGCATAGAACTGAAGGCAAAGTCCAAGGCCTAGAACCAGATAGGAGGCCCGGGATAGAGGCCCCGAGATTCTAAAGGCTGCCGAGGAAAACCCACCTAAAAAGGCCACTTGTGCTGCAAAAGGGATGGGGGCAGGGGTGGCAGAGAGTGGGGAAGAAGGGGGAGGGGGTGGGGTGGAGGGAGGCGTTTGGGAGGAAGAAGACAAACACCAGTTCAGAAATGCAGCCAACGGTGACTCGCAGGAGCTAGCTTTACATCCCACCTACAAAAACACGGGCCGGTTTCAAGGTGGGCACGCTGGCCTTGGCACATGTAACAAGAGTGGTGGCCTCAGGCCAGCACACGGCTCCCCCTGGGTCCCCTAAGGGGTGGGGGGACTTCTCCAGGCCTGTCTTGGACCTATGAGAGGGTCTAGACAGCCTCCACATGTCCCACAGAGGGTAGGGGCGCAGTCTTGGTCGGGCTCCCCTCCTACCCCGAGCTGCCCCAGGGAAGGGGTCCCACTCACCCACACAGGCCGTGCCGTCCTCGTTGGGCTCATAGCCCCGATTGCACCTCTTGTTTGTCCGGCACCTGTAGCTCCCATAGGTGTTGACACACACGGGCTTGTCACGGGGACACACGAAGGGGAACTGGATGCATTCGTTGGTGTCTGAAAGGCAAGCGATACAGCTCTCCAGGGTGGTGTGGGACGGGGTGTCTTGGTTCAGGTTCTGCCTTCTTGCCCACTCGGGGCCCGCAGGCACACTCCTTCTCCTTGCTTGGCTGCTCCTGGCCTTCCTCAGGGTGGCTTCTCCTGCACTTGACCTCTGTCTCTTAGGGTCGCTTGGCTCCAGTCTTCCCTTTCTATGGCTACTATTTCTGTAGGTCCTCTCATTCTATATGGATGACTTCACACTCCCTGTCTCCAGCCACAACCGCTCCCCGGGGCTGCCCAGTGACCACTGACCTGCTTGGTAGCTGCACCTGCTCAGCTGCTATACATCTCAGACTCAGGATGTCCAAAATGTTACCCTGGGCGTCCCTCTGTGCCCCTGCTCTCATCTTCCCTGGCTCCATCAGTGCCACCACTGAACACTCCGTCCTCAGTGGCCTGCATTCCTGCAGTCCTCTGAGCCCTGTGTGCAGCCTGGCCTCTTTTCTACTCTCACTACTCTGCCACAACCCCATTCTCCTGCCTGAATTGTGCTGTGGCTTGCTTGCTGGTCTCTAGATTTCCTCTCTTGCCTCCAGTGAGGTCTACAATCCAGGGGCCAGAGTGATCTTTGCAAAATGAGAACCACATCCAGAACTTCCTAGGTCCCATCGGAGTGCAAAGCCTATGCTCCCGGCCTACCTCCTGTGCGTAGCCTGGGCCTGTAGGGGCTGTTCCCCCGTGTCCCTGTGCCTCTCTCACTGCCTGGGGCTGGATGGCCTCCAGCTGGTTCCTCTTGCGTCTCCTCAGTGAAGGCTGCAGGGGAAGCTTTAGAAGCCACTGTCCAAGGGGCTAGGAGGGAGGACTCCCGGGTGGGCAGTTGTTGGGGCGAGGGCTTTAGGCTGCCCCTTTTCCTTGCCAGGTCCTTGGGGACCCCCACAGAGCAGCTGTGCCAGGAAGGCCTCCGTTTCTGCCCCTAAGACATCATGACCACACCTCTCCCTGTTTCACCCTCATGGTCCAGGTAAGGCCACCCCTGCTATCTGCCCTACTGGTTGGCCATGGCATGAGGCGGTTCCACTGGTGCCAAGGTAGAGCCACAGCTGCCCTGGTCCCCCAGCATATCCTTTCCTTGGGACTCGTGGCAGGACGCACTGAGCTGGGTGACCTGGACGGCTCAGCCCACAGGTCAGCAGCCTCACTCCCGCCTCCACGAGTCAGAGCCAGTGGTTGTCTTAGCATCTGCAGCCCGGGACAAGGTCCTCCCACCTCTGGCCTCTCTGCCTCCTGTTGGCTGACAACATCCAAGGAAGAGTCGGTCCCACCCCTGTGCCATCCCTTGCTATCACCTGCAGGCCACTTACCCATGCAATGGCCGCTTTCCTGCTGAGAGAATCCTTGGCCGCACTGCAAGGAAGGCAGAAGCAGAAAGAGCAGTGAGCAGGCAATTCCTTCTTAGGGCCCCCAGCTGACCACAAGGGCTCTGAGCTCAGACTTTCCATGTGTGCGAAGCTTTCCCTGAAGTCTTCTGAGCCTAGTCGCCTTCCCTGGTGTGGGGTTTGAGTGATTCCTGCTCCTTGGAACCAACCGGTCCCCGTTAGAGTGGGAAAGGGGTCCAGAGATTGGTCCTGTGCTGCTCTTAAAGAGCCCCCAGAGACCTTGCTGCAGGGCCCAAGCTCCACCCTTAGGGCAACAGGGCAGGAGGAGAGAGCCGTGGGCAGAATGAAGAAGGTGGTAGGCAGCCTGAAGATCGCTGGATCCTAGTCTCCAATCAGCTGTGCAGCCTCTAAGGAGACCCACTGGATTTCCCTCCCTCGGCCTTGATTTTCCTCTTTTGTAAACCGAGTGTAGAGACCCTCACACGTACACCAGGCTGTGGGGGAGGAGCAGAAGAGATGTGGTGTGCACGGGGGTGTGCACATTACAAATGGAGGGACCATAGTGAAGAGGGGGTGGGTAGCTGAAAGCCAAAGCTGCTGACTGGATGCCGCACCTCCAGGGGGTCTGGGTCCCGAAGCACGTCCTCATCTCTGGGATACAGGATCTCCAGAACGGAGTTCATCTCCCCACTGGCCACGCTGCGGCTGGCCATCTTGCCATCTGGCCACGTCACCTCCACGCTGCTTGCTTCATCTTTCCCTGTGGGATGGAGAGAGAGGGCCTGAGTCGCAGAAGGACAATGAGGCAGGGCTGCAGTTGTAGCGTCCGTGGTGTTTACCCATGCCGTGTCACTGCCCACCTTTCCCGGGGTCCTGTTCCCGTTGGACTGATTGCTCCTGGCCGAGCCGGTCTGTCACACACCCACTTGATGAAAAGCAGCATCTGAACACTGTATGTGCTGGGAGATGCTGAACAAAGCAGCCCTCTGGAGAGCAACACGGCCCAATGGAACCTTCTAGAAAGGCTGTGAATCGTTCCTGTCCAATGCCGTGGTCCTGAGCCATGTGTGAAGTGGGACTGATGTGACTGGGAAAGTGAATTTTAAATCCTGCATCAGTGTAATCAGCTTATGTGTCAATGAGCACATAGAGCTATGGGCTCCCCTATTGGGCAGCAAGAAGCTGTCCTCATGGGAAGGCTTCTTGGCAAGCAGGTAGGTGCGAGTCCAGGGTTCAAATCTCATTTCTGCCACTTCTCTGTTGTACTCTGGAGAACACGGCAAGGAGTGGGAGGTGGATCCCGGGGATGAGTCCCAGCTGCGAAGCTGGCTGGCCTCTAGGGCAAATCCCAAAGTTGGTGAGAAGTGGAACTAAAAGTTGGTTTTGCACAAAATTTCACTGATAGACACAGGCTTGGCATGTGGTTGGCACTGTCTGGGTGGGGGAAGGAGGGTTGCGTTCTGTGGAATTTCCACTCCAGTGCAGGGAGACTGAGACTGACATATAGCTAACAAGTGACAGGCTTAGGGAAAAAAACAAACGAACAACAAACAAACATGGGGTAGAGAGGGTCTGGGGGCTGGCTGGGGGCCAGGGCATCAGCAGGCAAAGTGCTCTGTGAAGACATGGGAGAGAGACCCCAGCAGGGCTGAGCCAATGGAGGCCAGAGATGATCCCAGTGGCTGCCCTGCCCACATCCCATGAGCTGACCGTCTGCAGCGGCAGGAAGCAGGGCCGAAAGATCTGTTAGGTGTTCAGGCATTGTCAGAGGCTGCCCTGGCCCCTTGTGTAAGGAACCAGGCTCGTCCCGGTGGCAAGGCCCAGCTAATGGTGATGGACAGGGGTGAGAGGATGAGGGGCCACTCTCAGCAGACAGCAAGGAGAACATGGGAGCAAGGCCTGTCTTTATCACTCTCCTGGGCTGATGGGATGCAGGCATGGAGATGGCAGGGGGTGGGGGAGTGCACAGGGTCCTGCAACGGGGGGTCTTCAGATGCACAGCTCCTCACAAGCATCATTCTTAGACTGAATAAATCATGTACCACCCACCTGCCTGTGCTGCTTTTTCTAATGTGCCTAGATACTGTTAGCAATCAAATGAAACTTTAAAGGGCTGTTGACTTTATATTAGCTTTTGGTCACTACTGTCCACCAATGGATTGATTGGTTGATTGCTTTTTATTTTATGTGAAGGGGAGAGAGAGAGAGAGAGACAGAGAGCGAGCAAATGAGAATGTCCCCCAAAGGCCTACAGTGGCTTGGGCTTGGCTTTGGCCTGCGTCAGGAGCTGGGAACCCAACCCGACTCTCTCAAGCTGGGACTCATCCATTGAGCCCGCATCTGTCGTCTCCCCATCATTGCAAAGCTGCAGTCAGGGACCAGAGCTGGATGCTGAACCCAGGCACTCTGACAGGGCCTGTGACAGCTGAATCCCTAGGCTCAATTCCTGCTCTTGTGAAATACTTTGATGCGTAAAAGGGGTTCCCCCAGCTTAGGAAAGGGAGCAGGGAGCCATGAGCAGACCTTGAGGAGAATCTAGGTGCAGAGGTCCTCTGAGGGCGGGGCTGACACGGTACCTGGCGGAGGCAGCCGGGGCGCAGGGAAAGGTCCAGCTGCATCTTTCTCAGGGTGGGGTTGGGGGAGCGGGCCCTGTTGCCACTGGGGGTTCCAGAAGAAGTTACGCTGTGAGAGCCACCCCATGCGGCTTCGCCAGCTTCCCTGGGTTTGGTCCCCTTTTGCTCTCTGGCCTGACCTTCTCGCAGTCCCACTGGAATGTTCCATCATCACTGCTACTGTGCAGGGAGCAAATGAGGACAGACCAGCTGCCTGGCTCTGTCAGCATCAGGGGGCGAGCCTGCCCAGGGGCGAAGCGCAGGCTGCAGGTGACGCAGGGACCCCCAGCTCAGGGTTCTCCTGCCAAAGGATTCTCCTTCCTGGAGCTGTTTTCTCTTTCTCAAAACATTTCTCTCCAATCCCTGTTCAAAGGGGGGAGGGGGACCTGCAGGCGTTGCTGCACCCATTGTCTGGATGCAGTCACCGAGGCTTGCAGAGGTGAAGTAACCTGTAAGTGTCTGAGCTAGGACCGGAATTCAGTTTGCCTGGGCTCCCAGACACCGGCTGGGAACAGCCTGCCAGGGCTGGGCGCAGGGGAGGGGAGGGCAGAGACGGGACAGCAGAGACACGGGGTCAGGAGCAGCACAAGTGGCTTCTGGCAGCTTTTAAAGGACAAAGGCCAGGGAGGCCCGGAGAATTGTGCTTTTCAGAAGAATTACAAGCAAAACAGATGGTGGGAATACAGTTGGTGGAATATTTTTGCACTTTAATAAAGCCGTTTTTATGTGGGCCAGCGAATTCTCCTTCCCTAAATGAGCACCAGCCGGTTTGGAGGCAGCTGTGAGTCACTAGCAAACAATTAGCTGAGAGGCAGGGGGCGTGGGAGTGGGGCCCTGGCGCTGCCCAAGTGGGGGGCCAGGCAGGGGCTCGTGGGGACAAGGAGATTACTGGCGCTTGTCTGTGTGCTCTGGGTTTGACAGCACGTGGCCTCTGGCCTGTTGCCACCAGCAAGTGGATAGCCAGGGTGTGAGACTGGCAGGGGTGGGCGCGTGCATGCTGGGCCTGCACCCAACCAGTGCTGCAAGCAGAAACGTACAGTTGGCAAGCTGGCAGTTCGTGTGTACCCAGGAGGAGCAAGGATGAATCGAGGCAAGGGGCAGGGAGCTAAGGATCCTGGCTAGGGCAGGGGGCTATGGACCCTGGCCAGGGCAAGGGGCTGTGTGGCTCATGGCCAGGGCAGGTGCCCGCTGAGAAGGGGCAGGTCTGCAAGAATAGGTTGAGAGCCCTTTTACCTGCAGAGGCGGCCCTCTAGGAACTCCAGAGAGCACTGTGCTGGCCCCGGGTCCTGATGCAAGGTGGATGTCTGGAGGAAGTAGGTGTACAGGTGAGGGAGTCCCGTGAAGGCGGTCCTCCAGGCCTGATGCAGCCAGGGTGGGGCAGAGCAGGACACGCCCACCAACCTTGGCCACGTCAGGAGCAAGGAAGGAAGGGAGCAGGGTCCCTTGGGGCTAGCTGCAGCCTCGTGAGCATGGCAGGGGGGCTCCCAGAAGCCCTCTCCCCTCCGCATCCTGAGTCCCCTCTCCTCTAGACTCGAGCTCTTTCCCCTCGAGACCCGAACCCCCTCCTCTCTAGACCCCACCTAGCCTCTGTGCCACCTCTACTGTCAGCCACCTGAAGCGACCTTTCCCTGCTCATTCATACCCTGCTTGTGTCCCACCTCAACCCTGGCTGCTCAGGATGGGGATCGGGGTAGCTGACCAGCCTGAGGGTGCAGCAGAATGCCACCATGCAGTATGGAGGACAGCAGCCATAGAAGGCTGTCCAGGGCTCGGTGTGAAGGGAAGTTGTCACAATGACCGGAACAGTGTCATCATTTTTGTTGGAAAATAGATGCCAAGCAGCACCTGTCTGTAATGAAAGCACCCAGAGGCTCGGGGTAGAGGGACCTCCCGGCTTGCCCTTCCCTCCACATCGCCATCCCCTCCCCTCTCCACATTGTCTGTGTTCAACATCTAACACTTTACACACATTCTCCCTGTTATGCTGTTGGGTTCTACACTTCCCTTCCTTCTGCAAGGATACGAGACTGCACAGAGAGGATCTCTGTGGCGCTGGACATAGTACCCGCTCAGCCACCATGTGTGGGTCACAATGACCGATGGGGCCTGGAAGCGTGGCAGAAACACTGGCTTTCCACCCAGGATGCCGACATGCTGGTGAGATTGTGCTTGGTCTTCACTGCCTCTTGAAGTGATTCGGTTTCTAATTTCCTCAGCAATGGGCTTGTGCGTGTGCACACATACACATATGTACACATGTATGCACAGGCATCGACAAGCCGTCCGAATGCTGTTCCTGCTGGAGGGTCCGAGTGCAGCCCTGCCCTCTCGGGCTACTTCCCTGGCTTCCCAGGTGCCCCGCCCTCCCCCAGGCACCTGCTGTCTTGAGCTTGGCCCTCCAGCTGTTGGTCACTGCTCCCCTTCCATTTCTGGTCACCAGGCCATTCCCATTGATGGCACTGTGTCCTGAGCCCGGAGCCTTCATCTGCCCCAATCCCTTCCACCCTTTGTGGTGGCTGCATCCCAGGTTGGCCTCCTCAGGACAAGAACCCCACAGCAGAGCTCGCTCCTCCTGCCCGCGTCCTCTTGTGGCCATAAGGCCGGAGTGAGGACAGTGCCTTGCACAGGAGGTCCTGGCTCCATCTGCCTGTTCCAGTGTCTGTCGGTCTCCCCTGCCCCACCTCTCAGCTCCTCAATCCTCTGCCCCCTGGTCCTCCCCATCAGCTCTCTCCTCCCCGCTGCTCTGCCAGCTCCAGCCTCTGCCCAGATCCTCTGGGACTATGAGGTCCCCAGGTTGATGGCTTTTCTGTCCTCTCAGTGGCCTGGGGAGAGCCTGGCTGTAGTTCATGAGCCCTGGGGGAGCCCTGTCCTCACAGCAGTCCCCGTTCCCTCCCCTTTCTGGGAGAAGATTCCTGCAACAGAGAGGAGCCTGAGGGGGCACCCTTTGGGGGTGGAGGGAGCCTGAGTTCAGAGAAAAAGCAAATCCCTCAGCCTTGAATAGCCAGGGTGGGGTGGGCGATTGGAAGGGGCTCCCAGCCTGGGCATGGCACACCTCAGGAGGCTGCTGAGCCCCTGGAGCCCACCCAGTGATCAGGCCAGGGCTGCCTATTGGAGGGAGCGGGTTGATTCTACGGGACAGGCAGATTGCCACCAGAGGGAGGACCTGGTGCAGCCTCCACTGTGAGGACACATCCCAGGTGGGGAAGCCCAGTGGGAGCCCAGCCTTACTGCTGATGCACTCTGCCAGCCTCCATCTCGTTGTCTGTACAAAGGGCTGGGTGTGGATGCCCAGCCTGATACCCAGGTAAGCATTCCACCCAAGGGACAGGGTGGTCACTGGGGTGCTTGAACAGCCTCCCTTGGGTTACCTGGTCCCTGAGAGGATGTGGATGCCAGAGAAGCCAGGAGCAGAGTGAGAGTGAGGCTGGGTGCTTACACAGCACAGTGACAGGAGGTGGCCCAGGGCTGTGATCAGCAATTCAAACCACCTTGTCCAAGGTGGTGGGGCAGAATCCAAGGCTCCCTACCTTGTGCAGGTGTGTGGTTGGGACAGGCTACTTAACCTCCACCTCAGTCTCTCCCTCCAAGGCAGGTTTCAGACGATGATAACCGAATCGTCCCTTTCCCAAGGCACTCAGCCTGATGCTTGGGCATCTCCCAAACGCTGGGTAAACGCTGGCTCCTGATGGCATGCAGGGACTCTGGTGCATTTAGAAGTCACACCTTCAGGGCCCGCCTAGCTGATTGCTGCCTCAGGAGTGACAGATTGGCTAACCCCAGGCCGGTCCAGCCAGGGTGCAATAGCCTGAGAACACGCTCATACAACCGGACCGTGGGTCCCCTCAATATTTATGGCCTGTTTGTCGGCCTACATAAATATTATGTGTCCCCCTATAAAAACTGGAGGATGCACAGTGTACATGCCTGTGTATGCACACACATACACACAATTCAGAAGAAAATAAAGATCAACTACTCCAACAGGCCTGGGCTGGAAGCACAGCGGTGCTGTGTAAGTGTCACAAGGTCTTGCAGTTCTTAACTGTTCTCATCCTCCATTTTCCCGTATTAAATGAGCCTATCTCAGAGCAGCTGTGAGCATGAAGCATCAGAAAGTACCCACACTGTGTCTTGAACGAGTCACTAGATTAAGGCAGATGCTCAGTAGTGCATCACATTTTTCTGCTATTCCTAGCTGTTTGCTAGGTATAAATCTCATGTGTATAGTATGAACTTATGTATGTATCCGTTAACTTGAGACTGTATTGATTACTCTTTCTCTATTGAACTTACTCTGCTTTGGGGGTCAGACTGGTGGTACAACCCATGCCTGCAAGGCACTGGTTTGTGTTCCAGCTGCTCCACTTCTGATCTCGCATCCTATTTATGACCTGGGAAAGCACTGGAGGATGGCTCAAGTCCTTGGAATCCTGTTCCCACATGGGAGAACAGAAGAAGCTCCTGGCTCCCAGCTTTGGATTGGCTCAGCTCCAGCCATTGTGGCCATTTGGGGAGTGTAAATTCTGCCTTTTAAATTAGATAAATAAATAAATAAACCTTTAAAAAAAGCTATGTCACTTCATGAGGTGCTAACGCATAGGGAAGGAGTCTGGTTTTGAACCTAGGAATCTTTGACTACATACCTGAGTCCATCAAGTGTAATACTTGCTTCAGTAGACACTGCTGGCTCCCCTAAGTGCTTGTCAGCATTTCTTTCCTTGATTGGACACCCTGGCATCCCCTCCAGCACAAGGCATTTCCCCCTAATCCCATCTTCCATGCATTTCTTCAAAAAGCACTTTATTTTGAAATAATCAGACTCAAGGAGAGTTGCAAAGACAGTACAGACAGGTCCTGAGTATTGGTTACTAAGTACCTCCAAGTGGGGACAGTCTAGATCAAAGCCAGGTGTCTGACCTCGTATAGCTGTGTGTCTACAGCTCAACGTCATTTCACCACTACTATGACCAAGATGTGGAGCTGTTCCACCACCATCAGGGTCCTGTGGGACTGTCCCTATAAGGTCTTTCCACCATCTCTGCCCTAGGTCACTGTCACTTTGGCACCTCTGCAATGTCATCTCTTTAGAGTGTCATTGTTAGGACTGGGTCATCCCAGAGGCTCAGGCATTAGAGATCTGGCCCCTAACATCTTATTTTTAAGGGTTAAGGAATGAATCTTAATGGATCAAGGGCAGACTTGATCCAAGGCTGGTGGCCAGGAGGTGGGAGTATGCCCCAGGGGTGGAGTGTTGGTTCTAAGAGGCCCTTGGCTCTCTGTGCTTGCCGCTCCTGGCTCACCACATGGTTTTTGCCCCAGTACGTGTTCCACCTCTCTCTGCAGTCTTCGACTCCAGACCAGCCGGGGTTGTGTGAGAGAGAAACCTTTTACAGTAGAAGCAGGAGCCTCCTAATATTTTAGTGATGGCAATAGAAGTTTGACTCCTGCAATTCTGTAACCAGCATCGCCCACCTGCAGATGAGCTCTTGGCTGTTGTGCTGCCAGCCTGCCCACTCCTCTTTCCCCCCAGTGCTGTTCCAGGGCACGGACGTGCCAATCGCCTGTTGATGGACATCTGGATTGCCTGTGGGGTTTGGTTATGACATGCACAATGGCTACGCACAGACTGTGAAGAGCTGTGTGTGAATGCGTTAGCTTTCATTCATACCTCAGGACACCCAGGTGGTGCCCAGCTTCGCAGGGTTCCATGTACGGTCTTGTGTTTCCACAAGAGTGTGAAGTGATATGTATTCAGTGGAGGAGCAGCACAATGCCACATTCCCTGGAGATGCCAGGCAGTGGCTGTACCATCAGGGGATCCCCCCTAACGCCATCCTATACTCTATGCTGCGCTGTGCTGCTAGGCTAGCATGGGGGCAGGTGAAATGTAACCTTCCCCAGTCGCAGAACCAGGCAAGGGTTATCAGTCAGACGTGGCTTGTCAGCTCCGACAGTGGGCGTCGCATGCGTGAGGTTTTAGAGAGAAGCTGCATAGTTCTACTCTCGCTCTGTCCTGGCGCATAGGCCCCTGCTTCTCTGACCCCTCAGCACAGCCCAGACCCTTGTCAGCACTTGCTATTGTCTCCAGTTGCTGTTCTAATGAGTAAGCAGGGACGTGTTGTGTATGCGCTGTGTGTGTGCTCATGTGACATGGGAGTGTTAGCGGTTTTATGTGTGTGAAAAAGATAGGACTTTCCCGTTCCCCTTTCTGCTGACAGGAACCAACTCTGCTGCAGATGGTGATGCCTGCTTGACAACACAGCGCTCCCCAAGGCTCCTGCACAAAGGGCCTCATTGCAGCTCTGGGCACAGAACTGGCTCCCAGGAGGCCAGGGACAAGCTGGTACAGTCTAGCACGTGAAGGACAAGGCCACAGCCCTGGACAAATATGCTCTGACTCCAGGGTGAGCTGCTCCACAGGGGCACACAAACCCAGCTGGTATTTCCATGGCCATCCTCTGAGCTTGGCATCACCTCACGGGCAGGGTTTGTTCCTGGAAGCTTTGTCCACCAAGGCCATGTCAGCCTCACCCCTACCCCACTACCCGCTGTGGCAGGCTGCAGGATCTAGTCTCAGGATCCTGAGACTGACTCACCTAGGCCGAAGTGAGCCACGGGCTCCATCTCGCACAGGTAGCCTGAGCCCCCATCGATGATCCTCAGGTGGGCCCCACTCTTCTTGGTGTAGAGTACGACCTTGGCACCCCGGGCAAAGGCCCCAAACCGGGTTCGGGGCACCACTCGCAACCAGTTGTTGCTGAAGCCCTGCAGGGAGGGGAGGAGCAGCCATGGGCACCATAGTGGGGAGGGGTGGCAGGGGGAAAGAGAAAGGAACAGAGGCCTGATAGAAAGGGGGTGCTGGGAGAGGCAGGGGAGGAGGCCTGGGAGGACAGATTTTGACAGGTGGGTGACAAATGTGGGCAGAGGGCAAAGGCCTCCCTGGCTGGATGTTGGCTTCCTCCAGGCCTGGGGGAGTTCCGAGTGAGCAGCTCGTTTACGCTCCCTTGCCCACCCTCCCTCAGGCAGGTCTAGGCCATCACATACCTGATTTCCCCGGAACACGGACAGTGGCTGGGCCATGGATTCCCCGTGGGACAGGATGAGGTCGAGCATTCCGTCCTGGTCAAAGTCGGTCACCACGCCCCCTGCAAGCGATACATACCCCTCTACAGTTCCCGCGATGAGCCCCTCTCCACACTGTTCCCTGGGACTATGCCTGCATACGGTGGTCGGACCCTCTATGGCCATGCAAACCTGTCTAGCCTTCCTGCCTCTTCAGGTGCGCAGGTGTGGGTCAGTTGACTGAGTGCCTGCATGAGCAGGGCCTCCCCTTGGGCCTGGGACCAATAGTAGACCATGTGACAGTAGCACCCTGTGTAACAGCAGCACCCTGTATAACAGTAGAGCGTGTGACAGTAGGCCGTGTGACAGAAGCACCCTGTGTGACAGATGTAGAGGAAGCAGGGCCAGCAAAGGGAGCTTCCCCAAGAGCACAAAGCCAGGCACGGGCAGAGCTGGCTCTCAACACCCCTGGTCCAGTGTTCTCTGTCTGAGGCCAAGCTGGATGCCTGAAGGGGAGGTGTCAGATGCAGGACTCTGCCTCCTGAGCACAAGTGACTTTTTGCTCTGTGTCCCACCCCTCTCTGGTACTGCATGCCCAGAGCCCAGAGATTCTCGCTCCTACCTTCCGCCCCTGCCTGGCCCTGCCACAGGGTCCCTTGCTTGGCCCTCCTACAGGGTGCCTCTTGCTCTGGGTGCCTCCTTCCCTGGTTTGGGAAGTGGGAACTACGGCCCTCAGGCGGCCTCACCTGTGCCCCGGCCCTCGGGCTCCAGGGCATCACCAGGGTTGAGCTCCTCGATGAGGGGGTCTCCGTGCTCCCTGCGGATGACCCTGCAGGAGAGAGACAGGCCCGCAGGGGTGAGGCCCTTGGGATCCCTTCACTCCCTTCTGCCCCAGGTACTCCCTTCCCCTCCAGGTTCCTTAAAGCACCACTGATCCCAGAGCAGCTACTCTCTACTCACTGGCCCTGCCTACACCCTGGCCGTTCCCTTCTTGGGTTTTAATTTATGTGGGTAAATATTGATTTTTCCTTCCCTAATGGATGAATTACAGACAGCCCAGGGCAGGGCAGCTGATGGATGGAGAAAGGGCGGAGATACAACCACCTCCAAGTGACCTTCGGCTTCTTCCAAGGGGTTCTGGGCTCCTGGCTCTGGATGCTTGCTGGGTTCAAACCCTTCATTCTGCCCCTGCCCTGCCTTCTCCATTAGTCTTGCCAGAAGCAACTGGTCCTCCTCTGCCTCTGGCACAGTCTGACCTTTGTCATTTCCCACCTGTGTGGGAGCATCTGATCTGTTACTCACCAGCAACTCTACTGCCTGGGGTCTCTCTGGCAGTACCTGGCCCGCAGCTGCCCCAGTGCCCTGGCTCTTGGACAGCTCCAGGCCATCTGCGTGCTGCACAGGAAACCCCAAGGGCAAGTGGGAGGAGAGGGGGGCTTTTTGCAATTTAGGGGTTCTAGCTGAACTCTGTGTCTCGGGAACAGGTGATCAGTCAAGTCTGCATGAGCCCTGGCCGCAGCAGGCCTGATGCTGCAACCAGCAGGCAGCCTTCTGCTTTCTCGCTTCTCACTCGAGCTGCTCCCAGCACCCTGGATATGCAGCCCCAGAGTTCAGAATCCCGGTGAAGAGAGAAGGGGCTCAGAGGGCTGTGAGCTCAGCCACGTGCACTGTCTGCACACATCACCGTGTGCCTGGGCCTTGCCCTTCTGTGCAGGTATGCATGGGTGTGTGTATGCCTGTCAGAGGTGTGAGGCCTTGACCTGCAGACACCCACTGCCCCTCGCCAGTTCAGATCTTGCAGATTCTGCACCAGTCATGCAGAGACCCTTTTGGGTCAAGAGACAATGCAGTGCAGGGTTGCTGGGGACAAAACCTGGCTGTTGCATTGCATTTACGTATCCTGTGAACCAAGTGTTCTAACAGCCACCTCTGTGTGTCCGGGCATGGGTGGGGCTGGGCCATGAGGAGCAGCCGCAAGGACAGGACTCCAAGTCTGGGTCAATTCAGGTGCTGAGCTGTGATTCAGGGAAGGCTCTCCAGGGGAGGGTCAGCTAAGCTGAGCCCAGCATGTGAGCAGGCACCTGTCACACAGCTGAGCAGGAGGAGGAACAAGGGCGAAAGGGTGCGGGCAGCCTGTGGCCTAGGGCTGGTGCAGCCCAGACTGGAAAAGAACTTGGAGGTCAGGCGTGTGTACCTGGGGAGGGTGGGGAGGTGGGAGTCAGGGATGAGCCTGGGACCATCTCTGAAGGCCAAGGACTGTGAGTGCAAGAGGGATGTGGGCAGCTGTGCATTCTCAACAGCTGCTCTGCAGGAGGAGAGGTGATGCGAGGGTCCCCTGGATGGGGAGCAGGCACCCCAGGTGAGGCCCAGGGCTGCTGGAGAGGTAGAATTGTGAGCAGAGTGGAGGCACGAGCAGAGAGACCACATTCTGCAGCTGGTCTGGAGAGCCCCTCTTTGTACCTGCTGTGTGTGATTATCAGTTCCCTAGCTCCATTCCCTGTGTCCCATTTGGACGAGGGGACTGCCCTGGCACATTCAAGCTCACCAGGGCCTGGTTGTGTTCGAGGCTCAAGGAACCCGCAGTGTTCTGTCCCATGACAGGTGAAGAGCTCCTGCTCTGTGGGGCTGGGGGAGGGGGAGGACCAGTTTTGCAGAGCTGTCCTTTTTGAGGACAGCCCGGGCTGTAGCCCCTGAGTCGGGTGCCCAGGACCCAGCGAGCTGCCTTGGAGACTTGGGCATGGCCACATTCCTGGGAAGTGACTCACACTGTGCCGTGTGGGAGCGTACATAATGGCACTGAGTGGCCACATGGTGGCTGTGTCCACCCACAGCTCTGGGCCAGCCCATCTTGGTGTGAAGTGGACTGGGTAGTGGGCAGGTAGGGGAAATGCTTGGATTCTCTGGTCACAGAGCTGGGGGTGGGTGGGGGAAGGCCTGGACTCCGCAGTGACACTATATTAGCTGGAGAAGGAAAGCAGTGTCTCCGTTAACGAGCAATTGATCTTCTGCAATTAATCTGGAAGTTGTGAATAAGCTTTTTTTTGCAAGGCACCTAATTAGTAAATCTGGTGCCCTCAGGGGGTGATCGCATCCAGTCAGGATGGATGCTTGGTTCATAATGATATTTCCAAACATGCTTAGTCACAGTGCTCTGCTGGGAGAGGAGCTGGGACTTCTGGGGGCGAGGGGGTGAGCTGACCCATTTGGATTCCAGTGTTTCCACCCAGCCCTGAGCCGCATTAGCATGTTCTAGGCCAGGAACAAGGAGGTGTGAGGCTGCAACGTCCTAGGGTGCGATCCCCAGCAGCAGCTGGCAGCCTTGAGGGTGACAAGTCAGCAGGTGCCCCTGCACTGGGGCAGGATTCAGACCTTCAGGTCTCCCTGCCCCAGATTCTGAGTGTCGAGAGCAGGGTGGGGCTTTGGGTGTCTGTGCTCTTGAGAGGCATGCTGGGCAGTCTTGATGCGAGTGGGCCGTCCCCCCTCCAAACTCCCTGGACAGAGAAGTGTGGCCTGAGACAAGGCAGCCCCTCCCTGTCACCCTGGGAACACACTGGCATTGGGTACCTTGGCTCCTCCTGTCTCTAACCCTTGCGACTTGGCCATGGCTCATCAGCTGTCTACTCCATCCCTTCCCAAACTGAGAAAACCCTTGGGAAGAGGTGGTGAAGCCTGTGGGGGAACCTGCCACTATCTTCGGCAAAGGTGAGTTATTGGTGGTCATGCTAGTGGCTCTGAGAAAAGCTATGGCAAGGAAAGCTGCTTCTTTTTGCTTGGTACAAATTATCCAGACATGCTCGGCTCCATGACCTCTGTCTGTGGCAGCCTAGGTTACGACCTTGTGGAGATGGAACTTGGGGCACAGTGAGGGCCATGGCCCACTGCCCTGCAGCAGTGGGAAGCCAGCTCTGGGCCCCCGAGTCTCCATCCATCCCAGCAGCCTCATGCTCAAGTCCTGTCTCCATCAGAGGACTTTCTTCCTTCATGGCACCTACTTCCTGGCCCTGGTCATCCTTCCCTTCACTTCTGATCCTTTACCCTTCATCCCAACCAGAGCCTCACGCCCCATGCCCCATCCCACCGTCAGCTGGGGGCAGGGATGCATACCGGAAGAGGCGGTTGGCTGAGGAGGTGCGGGAGGCAATGTTGTTGAAAAAGATCTCCAGCTCCTGGTCATTGTCAAAGTCGGCAGCGATGACGGTACGGACAGGAGATGGCGAGGAGAACTTTGACGAGGCTATGTCCTGGAGCAGAGAGGGCTGCTGGTGAGCAGGCAAGGGAGGGGGCTGGGCAGGGGCCCGGCACAAGAGGCCCACACTTCCTGTCTTACCTTCTACGGAAGGAGCTGGGGCGGGATGGGGGGAGTGAGCACTGCTTTTGGGAGCACAGAGCCCTGGGGGGGCCCTGGCTGCTGTCAGGACAAGCAGGAGGGACCTGTGACTTCTCAGCAGTCCTTAGAGGCACCGCAGGTATGAAAGCACCCATTTCACAGGAAGTAACCAAGACCCAGAAAGATGAGGGTATGGCTCAAGCCAGGGCTTCTGAATCAAGTGCTCGACCTTTCCTCCTGCACAGGCTCACTCCTCTGGGGTGAGTGGGAACTGGGTGGAACCGTGCTCCACCACGGATGAGTGGGACTGTCTCGGGCAGGTCATTCTAGCCCTCCAGCTCCGCTCTGCTCATCAGTATCATTGGACAAACAGAGCCTCCAAGGAGGTGGGGACTGCATGTAAAACACCTGGCCGAGGGTGGGCCAGAGGCACGTGGCCTGCATTGTTCCTGCATTGACCTTGATGGGGAGTGTGAAGGAGGCCACTGCCACCTTGGTGTGGGCCCTGTGCCTGCCGATTTGCTGGTTAGAGCTGTTTGCTTTGAGGGATCTAGAACTTGTGGGGAGACCCCAACCCAGAAGAGCAGAACTGGGATCTCAAAGTGCTGGTAGAGCTTTAGGCAGGCCTGGTGAAGGGTACCTTCCTTCCTGAGCACAATATCCATCCCCACCATTCGTGGGTTTGTCCCTTAAAGCCCTGGATGCCTGTCCAAATCCCAGAGCCTGCAGGGAGGGGACTGGGAGAGGCCTGACCAGTGTCTCCAGAAGGAGTCTCTGTGCCCAGGCCTGGCCCTGCCCTCCACCTCCTGCTGCAGGCCTGTTCCCAGGACCGTGGCCATGAGCTGGCCAGGGTTCACTGCCTACTGTGGGGGCAGGGAGGGGACCCCATCAGTGCAGTTGTGAACTGATTGAGAGCCTAGCCAGTTGGTCAGGGTGGGCTGAGTGGGAACAGAGAGAGACCTCAGACCTCATGATTGTACTATTGGTTCTAGAAGAACGGAGTCCTCTGTGGCCCCCTTGGGATGGCACCACTGGCCCCCTGGACTTCTGAGACTTCGGTGTACGGAAGCTCTCAGCACAAGTGCTGGCACACAGAGGCCCTTGTTCACTGGTGCATCTACCATGAGGAGGAGGATTACTTCCAGGATCTCTGCGAAGGGCCAGCAGGAGGACAGACATGTGGGGCCAGGCAGCTCTTTTGCTGGGAACCACCCTGTGCACTGAGGGATGGTCAGTGGTGTCCCTGGCCTCCCCTGGTCCATGCCCCCAGCACCTGCTCCCTCCAGTTGTGACTACTTCAAAGGTCCCTGGAGGCTGTCCAGTAAGGAGGGGTGAGAACTGGGTGAGAAGAAAGGCCCAGGTGCAGAGGGAAGTCACCCAGGACCCCGGGATCCACTGCCCTGACTTCAGAGCAAGCCTCCTCCCGTTTCTCCCCAGGCAGACAGGCAGGCAGCCACAGAGAGTGCTCCTGCAAGGGAGGGAGCTTGTGGTGGTAGCCTTTCCATTATAATGCACGTACAGGTCCCTGGAGACTTCCCCAGGGAGCAGCAAATGTGTGGAGAACACTGGAATCTTCCCATTCCATTTGGACTTTTCGGCAAGGGCTGAGCACCTCCAGAATCATGCCTCCCCAAATCAGCTTCAAGGGGGCCCAGGTGCTCTGTTGTCCTCCCTGAGCAAGCCCCAGACTCAAGTCCATTCTGCCGGTGGCACCTCCGGCATGGTTAACGGGGGGGAATAGCTCTCAGGGGGCATCCAGGGAGAGGGACACGGTCAGCAGCTGGGGGTCAGCTCGCCCAGCATCTGTCTGCTGAGGAGCAGCTGCTGGGGACACTGGACCCCCAGCCTCTCCAAATCTCCCAAGACTTCACCCTTGATCTGAACCTCAACCTGGAAACTCAGGCTGGAGCTACTGACCAGCTACTGACCCAGGAACTGGCTGGATCCAGAGAAGAAAGTCTGTCCCACGGGACCTCCCCTGTGCACCTGCTTCTTTCTGTTCTGGGCAGCAGACCCACAGCAGCCCAGGCTGGAGACTGCTGTCCCAGATATTACCTTCATCTCAGACTCTGCATGGACCCCTGCCCAACCTGGTAAGAGGCATAGGGCAGGGCCGCGGCTCAGGGCGGGGCTTCAGTGTAGTGCCGGGCAGGGGTCAGATGTCCCCTTCTTACCCGAAAGTGGACCTTCCCGTGGGCACTCATCTGCAGGTAGAGGCGATGGGGACCATTCCAGTTGCCGTAGACAATGTCCACTTTGCCATCCCGGTTGAAGTCAGCGAGGGCAACACCTCTGCCATGCTGGAGGGGGTCGTCCACCCCTGGGGAGGAGAGGGTAGGGGAGGCCGGAGCCTTCGGGGCAGTGTCCCTTGTACACCCCATAGGCATTTGCCCCAAGCCCAAAGGGAGAGTGACCCTGGCTTGCTAGGCACGGATGGAGGATGGAGCCACTGCATCCCAGGTCTCTGGGGGCAGGAGGTGGGACGTGGGTCTGATTGCAGAGAGGACTACAGACATTCTCAAGCTGCTTTTGTCCAGTAAGCCGACTATTCCACTCAGTGCTGGGGGCAGTACGGGTGGGGGTGTGTACTCGAGGGAGTGCTGGAGGCCAAAGCCCCTTCAGAGGGGCCATCTCAAACAGATCATGTGACTGCTTAATTGAAGTCTCTCCATGATTCCCCAGGCCTGTTGGGTCAAGTTCAAATCCTGCTTTCAAGGCCTTGCTTGGTGAGGCCCAGCTGCCCTGGTCTCTACCCAGGGCCACTCTTCCTCTACCTGCTCCTGTCATGTCCCACGTGACCAGGCACTTCCCAGCTTCTGGGCCTTTGTTTAGGCTGGTCTCTGCTGCGGCCGGGAGCAGAGCTTCTCCAGGCTTGTGGTTACCTGACTACTTGTTATTCTGCTCTCAGTGCTAATGTCACCTCCTCAGGGACACCTTCCCTGATCACCTCATCTATACTGCTCCCTCCACCTGCCTCCTGCCTCTCCTTTCTGCGTCACCGGGTGGATGCCCGGGGCCCGGGGTGCTGTGGTGTTTCCTGGGGGTGTCCTTGTGTGGCAGCAGGCTCTCCAGGCAGACCTGACATGCCGCGAGGTCAGGATGCTTGTCCCAACTCCCCCGCACACGCAAAGCTTTTGTCTCTGTGTCTGCAGTTGCCTGCTGGTTTTGAGTAAGTGCTCGCTGGATGAATGAAGAGACAGGAATAACTTGACAGAAGGCAAACTGGGGACACTGTGACAGCAGAGGAAATATAGTAACCATGACAGAGAAACCCAGAGCGTGCCTTGTGAGCTGGGGGTGGAGAGGCTCTGTATTCAATGTCACCTGTGCCTGCCACTCCTGAGGCTGGAGCACGTGGTCTGACCCAAGCAATGGCCTGACCTCTTGCTGCCCGAGGCAGACCTGCTCCCCCGGGCAGGTGAGAGCTGAGGCGTGTAGGGCACCAGCTCCTTGTGCCCACGCTGACCCTTGTCAGAAGAGAACAGCTGGGACGCAGGGCTGGTGGGTCATGGGACCATGTGATGGGGAAAGAGGAGGCGCAAGGCAAACAGGAAGATCATGAAGGTGGGAGCCAGGATGAGGGGCAGCTGGGAAACTTGGGGGCTGAGCAGCCTCGGAAGGCAGGCATGAAGGGGAGGAGTGTGGTGAGATTAATTCTCGGTCAGACTCCCTGGCCCAGGTGTCCGTGGCCTTCCGCGGTGGCCCATTTCTCTCCTATCTATGAGGCACCTTGACAAGGAGCTGGTTCCTGTTCTCGCGAGGAATCGGCACCAGGCTGCCTTCCACAGCAGCATCTGTTTGGGTGATGAATGCCCTCTTGACATGTCTTGTTAAACCTCTGCAATCATTCTGACTTTCAATTACGGGCCTTGTACCTTCCTCTCTCCTCCTGCCTGATACCTGCTCTCGCTCCAACCTGTCCGCTCACCTCTGCTCCGTCTCTTTAACACCTTATCAGATCCTTTGGGCCTTCTCTACTAGTCTCTCTACCACGAGGAAATTCCCTGCAGGAGCACGGCACTAGGAGGAGAGAGCTGGTGCCCTGTGCTCCAACTTTAGCTTAGCTGGGAAGGGAGAGGAGGTAGGAGGTAGGGGGTGGGGCTGACTGGCCACAAGATGGGAGTGGGCAGCTGTGCTAGGCCAGGAGTCCCCCGAATGCAGGCTTCCAAGCAGACAGCCAGCAGAGCACACATGCCCAGGGCAACGAGAGCAGACTGGCCCCACTGCGGAACCTGGACACCAGCTGTTGGCTGCTGCCAGTGGCTGGACCGCTACTGTCCCTTCTCCCTTGGCCAGAGCTCTGCTCTCTGGCCCCAAGGGCCACTCTTCCTCTTACAGTGCTCCTGTCATGCTCCACATGACCAGGGACTTTCCAGCTTCTGGGCTTTTACTTAGGCTGGTCTCTGCTCAGGCCTGGCTGCTTGTGCCATCAAACCCATCTTTGGCAAGGCAGAGAGGGAGAGGAGGGCTTGAAGGGCAGACTAATTGTGTCCACTGTCTCACTTAGCTACAAGTTCCTGGGTGACCCTGGGGTGCCAAGCATTGGGCCAAGAATGAGTAGGGCAGTGGCCAGAGCATGGGGAGCCTGTTGACAAGTCATCATGGTGCTGGAGAAGCCTGGGTGAGTGGTCTGTGCAAAAGGTTGTGGGAACACACAGGAGGGACTGGTCTATGGCTGGTGGCACAGGAGGCCAGGCCAAAGGTGACCTGTGAGTGAAGGGTTGGAACCAGACGGAACAGCTGCAGTAGGGCAAAGGGCACAGTGATTTGGGATGAGGGAGTGGTGGCTGCAGAAGCCTCGAGGCTGCCAGAGGATGGGTCTCAGGGCACAAGGCCAGGAGCCTGGGCCACTGCTTTGTCCCACTTCTAACACTGTGTGTGCATTTCACCCATGTTTATAATGTTAGGGCCTTGTCTGGGGTGCTCTCTACCTTATTCAGGTCAACACCCACAGCTCTAAGCACCAGCTGGGTGCTCAGCAGGGCTTTCCTCCCTGGTGACCAGATGAAACTGAACGATTGAGACAAAAGGGAAAGGCAGCTTGGAAGGGAAACAGGCTGAGAGACACAGGCGTCTGAGGGTTACGGGCCAATCCCAGGCTCTGGAGAAATTCATGGTCAGGAGTCCCAGATCCCCTTTCCCAGCACTGCCTGCCCCCTGCGGCGGAGTTACGGAGGACATGGGTGTGGCAGTAATAGCACTGCCTGAGGGGCGCACAGTGGGTTCTGATCTCCACAAGGCCGGGGAGGGCCCTGCTGCAGGGCGTGAGGCAGCAGAGAGGCCCTGGGGCTGGGGGCTGTGTCACTCACCAGCACTGGCTGCAGCATCCACAAAAGTACCATTGCCTTGGTTGTGGAAGAGGAAGTTGGGCCCGTTCTCATTGTCGCAGAAGATATCCGAGGCACTGCTGCTAAGGATGGGGCCCACGCTGACCCCTCGGCCACCTAGGACAGCACACAGACCCCACAGTGAGCAGCAGAAGTGCAGCCTGAACCATCTGAGGCAGGGGAGGTGACCCAGAGAGCCTCGCAGTGAGGCCTGGAGCTCTGACCTTCCAGACACCTGCTGGGGTCTATCTGGGCTCCCAGTCTGCTTGACTGAAAGGAGATGGACAGCCCAGAGGATGAGGCCAGCCAAAGCCTTGCTCACACTGCTGTCAGGTCACAGGTGTACCAGCCTGCTTCTTCCTCACTCTGGGTCCTGTGTACGCTGATCACATGCTGGGTGTGTCCCTGCTTTAACAACCCACAGGAACAGGCTCCAGCCACAGGACCAGGCGGCTCACTTAGCTGTATCTGAGCAAACTGGTTGCATGGGTCATGGCACTTTCATGTCATGGTCCCATCTGCAGCTACTCGTGATTGGGCACGTCCTTACACATGCCCTTGGAGGAATGCCCATGAGCTGTCATTAGGGGGAAGAATAATCCTTCAAGTCATGGCATTGTGTACTGGCCCTTCTCTGAACAAGAAGAGGAACATACAAGGTATTTCTGAATATACGTGGTTGTACAAGCTCATTTGAGTTTGGACAGAGTGAGAAAGGCCACACCCCATGCTGCCAACAGAGGACTGGGGAGGGAAGGCGAGGCGGCTGTGGCCTTTGTCTGCATTGTTTGGCTTGTGGCAACAGGAATTGCTCCTGTAGTTTAAAAGGGAAAAAATCCAATAAGGTATATATTTTAAAAAGAAAGAAATCAAGCCAGCTCTACATTAGCCTTTGAAGTCAGCAAGATCAAATCTAAGCTGCCCATGTCAGGTAGTCCAGCCCTCAAATGTGTTGAGCGCATCCGCCCCCAGCCAGCAGGTTTCAACAAAGCCTCGTTGCTTGCCATGCCTGTTGGAAATAAAGGGCAGAAGGCAACCTGTCTGGGACCAGGATATGGATTCTTAGTCCTGGCCTAGCTTTGTACAAGCTGCATGTGTGGGTGATCACCCCAGGTCCCTGCCCTGCTGCCTAGGGGGCGTGGCTTAAGCCTAACCCTCCCCTTGACCTGAGGCACAGCCTTCAGGCCTACAGGTGGCGTGTGACCTCCTGTGACATCACCAGAAGATCTAGGGAGACAGACCTGTCATACAGCCAATTACAGCGTCTGGTGGGCGTGGGGTCTGCCAGAAGGCTCCCTCCTGCCCTCCCCTTCCTTACTCTTTCAAACCTGCAACCTGTGCGTAATGAAGCAGACATTCCTCACCAGCTTGTCTCCGGTGGTGCTTGCCTCACCCTCAGTGACCTCGGGGCCTGCTGGCAGACCTAAACCCTGAGATGCATGACCTTGAGAAAGTTACATGATCTTCTGAATGTCAGTTTTTTTCATCTGTGAAATGGGTCTGTCTTGTCTACGTTGGGGAGTCTTACAGGAGCAAACGAGGTGAGCTAAACTGATCAGAATGAGTATGATTAAAAACGACCAAGATGACAAGGGGAGAAAAGGGAAACCTCATGCTGCTGATGGGAGAGGAAATTAGTACAGTTAATACGGAAATCAGTAGGGAAGTTTCTGAAGATGTTAAGGACAGGACGATGCTATGGTCCAGCAGGGCCGGCACTGGGCACATTCTTGACAGAATCGCTCCACGGAAAGGGCTCCTGAACTGCCACGTCTCCTGGCGAGCCTTCCCAGCATCAAGAAACAGAGGCTCCCCAGCTGCTGCATCAGCTGATGAACGGATGAAGAAAACGCGAACAAAGACATGATAAGAGAAGAAATGCTAATCGCCCCATCGGATCACTGGGCCTTGTTTACGTGTATTAACCTCTTGCACCCCATAAATATTTACAGATATCATGTCAATTATAAAGCAAGAGTAACAGTAAAAAGGAAAATGTGGCATGCACACCCAGTGGGAAAGAGAACCAGCCTCCAGAGGGGCCTGGAGGACCCTGTGCCGAGTGAGAGGGGCCGGGCTCTGGGAGGCGGAACTTCAACACGCGGACCCCTCAGGACCACAGAGGACTGGTTCCCGGGGCGAGGGTGGGGAGCTGGGGAGAAGCTGGTCCCAGGAGCCAAAGGCCTGAGCTCTGTTGTAGCCCTTGGTGAGTGCGCTGCACTCAGCAAGCTCCTGGAACATGGAGTTGAAAGATGTTTGTTTTGATATGCAGTTTTTAAAAAATCCACGTGGTTTTTCACAACATGCACTTTTCATGAGCTTTTGGAAGATGCTCATATGCTTGAGGTGACGAGGACAGCTGAAGGGTTCTCCGTACACACAGAGTGTGGAGAAATGCAAATGCTAATTACTCTGATTTAGCCATTCCACAATATATACCTTTTTAAACCATCGTATTGTATGGGACAAATGTATGTGATTTTTTTATTAGTTTGTTTTATCAGATGAAGAGATGAAATACGATTTATGAAAGGGCCTCGTGGGCCAGCTGTAAGAGAAATGCAGAAACCCAGGCCCTTTCCAAATCCAAGCCTGCACCCAAACAAGACCCTGCTGGTGGGTGTGCACCCTCAAGTTCAAAGAGCTCTGCTCCAAAGACTGCTCGGCTGAACAACAGCAGGTGTTGGGAGCTGCCGAAGAAATCAGGTGAGACCTGGGCAGACCTGGGCAGTGCTGGCCAGGAACCCAGCTGCCTACCCTGGGATGATGGTGGGGGCTTCCCAAAGCCCCATGCTAACTCGGGAAGGATTTTTTTCTCCTTGGCAAAATGGCACTGGAGGAGATCATGGAGCCTAACTCCCAGTGCTAGTTCACAGCTAGGAAGACGGGTGGGCCAAGGGTTCAGCCACTCCTGCTCTCCAGGTTGGAGTCTTTGCTTGCCTGTCCCAGACCTTGGGTCACCCAAATCCCCAGACACTCTGAACGGCTCTCAGTGAGCATCCACACTTCCTGAAAACAGCCTCATGGTCCCCAGCACGTCCGTGCTATGTCCTGTGAGACACAGCATCACTTTCCACGGTAGGATCTGTGGTTCAAGGTGGGGTGGCTTTCAGAGGCCCTTCCAAAGCCAAAGGAAGGGTGCTGAGTCACCACCCCACGGGAGCTACTGCCCCTCAACACAAGAGCCGCTGTGTGGCTGCTGGCCGCTGGCTGCTGGCCGCTGCCCCGTCCTGTCTAGACTCCAGCCCGAGTGGGCTTCGTGAGACGCCCTTAACCCTTTCCAGGTCTCTGGAAATCTCAGGTGACACTGAGGAACCTGCCGCCACATGCCTCCATCCTTCCTTCCTGCTCTGGCATCTTCCAATTTCCTCCCTGCCTCTGGCTCCTAAGCCATGACACATTCCCTTCATTTTCTACAAAGCAGGTTATTTCCCTTTTGGACAAATTTCTAAATCTTTCTAATTAACTAATTGGGTTGGGTTGAAGCCTTGCACCATTTGTAACCTGTAATTACTAGAAAATTGCCATGGTAACCACACTACTAATTAGTGACAATTTATTGCCATAGCAACCGGACCATAACAGAGATGTTACCCACAACTCCTACTTGGCAAGTTGGCCATGCAGTTGGGGAGCAGGTGAGCAGAGAGTCGGGGAGCCTGCCTCTTGGGCATCGGCCCCGGCTGCCTCAGTGAGGGGCTCCAACTGCACTTGGAGGCGGGCAGCCAGGTGTTGGCACTCCTGACCCATGCCACAGGGGACCCTCGGCTCCCAGATCTTCAAACCAGTGAAACCTACCAGTGTTAAACAGAGCCGTGGGTCTTACTCCCAGAGACCCCATCCTCAGCAACTACTAGAACCTTCCCCATACTCTTTTTCCTCCCCCTCACTCTTCTTTCTTCTTTCCTTATTTCTTCCTTTCATCCTTTTTTAAGGCAGAGTGTGACTTAGAGGGGGAGAGACCTAATGTCCCACCTGCTGGTTTACTCCCCAAATGCCTAAATCAACTGAGGCCGGGCCACGCTGAGGTCAGGAGCCAAGAACTTCCTCCAGGTCTCCACACGGCCGGATCCTTGAGTCACCACTCTCTGCCTTCCAGGGTATACAGCAGCAGAAAGTGTCATCAGGAACCCGGACACTGCTACGTGAGACCGGGGTGTTCCACTGTGCCAAACACCTGCCCCTCTTCTTCTTCCTTTGTGACCTCCAACCCCGGGGTGCCTAAGTCTTAGCACATACCACATGGGGCTCCCCAGGGACACTTAGGGACACCTTTATTGAGCCTTTGAGAATGACTCCAATCTGCCTCCCTCAGTTCTTTCTCTTTTGAGGGTGGTACCTTCTGCAAGGAACACACAATTCCCCAGTTAGGGTTGAAGAGCTGGGCTGGGGATCAGCAAGTCCAAGTGTGAGCTGTGTGACCTCAGACACATCACCAAACCTTTCTGGCTTCTGTTTTCTCACCTATAACATGAGACTGACAATAATAATAGCTCTTTCTCGGGGCTGTCATAAATACTAAGTGAACTGGTTTTTGGAAGGTACCTTGGAAAATGTCAGGTGCCACATAGTCATTAGCTGGGACTATTTACCACCTGCTGGGTGAATGATATGCCTTTATTTTCCCCCAGCACTTCCACGCTTCCAAGGCCTCCTAGTTCTTCCTGCTGTGGGTGTGCATGCTCCTTCCTGCCCAGTCTCCTACGGATGCCCCATGTCTCCTGCCACCAGCGCTGGCTCTGCTGGTCTCTCTTTGGGCCCAAACTTCATGGCTGGATGAAGAACTGACCCCCAGCCCTTGGGTGAGGCAGACTTTCCCTAAGTGACCCACCTCTCAGATCACACCTGAGGCAGGCACGAGGGGTGTGAAAAGGGCAGAGAAAGGGCTGGTCCTTGGGAGGGGGATGGTGCACGCTACTAGGCTGATCCTAACTGGGGCATGAGGATGCAGAGGTGAGGTGGCACGGGGATACACAGTGATGGGCAAAGGTCTATGGTCTCTCGCCTGGATCTTCCTGGCTGCAGCTGCAGGAATTCGGGCAGTGTGCCCTCCTGGCTGTGGTCTCCTGCCCTGGAAGATGTGTGGGGGAATGAGGTCTCCAAGGCACACTGCAGCTCTGCTCTTCAGTGAACGTGGCCTTCAGGGCGGTCCACAGGAAAAGCTGGGCAATGCATCCTATACCTTCTGCACTGGTGGGGATTCTGAGTCAAGGCCCTGCAGCTAAGGCCTGGATCCATGGGATTCACCAGCTGGGACTACAATACCAAGAGGGGCCTGGTGGGCACCAGGATCTGCAGACAGCTAAAAACATCCAGAGAAGAATAGCAACACAGAGTGGGAGAACAGGCAGTGAGTGCAGAGCATGTACTGGTGCCAGGTGTGCATGCCCATGAGTGTATGCGCAGCGCATGCGACTGAGGGTGTGTCTGTGTTGCTGGAGAAGGGAGGGGAAAGAGCAGGATAGCAACCAGAAATGTTCTGAAAAATTCTAAAACAGAAAAACACTGTGTTGATGCTGGGGCTGCCATGCCTATCCCCCTAAGGACCTTCAGCTGCTGGGCACGGCTCCAATGCTAGTCAGTGGAGGGTGTTAAATGGGGCACTGCCACCACACCCTGCCCCATCCAGTCCTGCTCTGCGGGAGGTGAAAGAAGGGAGGTGGGAGATCTCTGACCTCAGCGTGCGGGAGACAGCCCCTCCCTGTGTCACTCCCAGGAGGGGGCTGCAAGGAGCTGCCTGGGGCGGAGGGTTCATATACATGCATATATTTTAATGGGAGAGACCCCACTGGCTCATCCCCTGATGGCTGCAAGAGCTGGGGCTAGAACTGAAAGTGGCTAGCCGGGAAGGCAATCAGGGTCCCCTGCATTGCTGATAGGAACCCCCGACCTGAGGCATCACTCGCTGCCTTTCAGCATGTGAGCATTAGCAGGAAGCTGGAACCTGGAGCTGGAGGCAGTGTGGGACCCGGGCACTCTATGTGGGATGTGGCCACTTTAACGGGGACGCTGGGCGCTGGGCTAAATCCCCACCCCAAACACCACACTGTTATGACATCTGTGAGCTTTGTAGGACGGCTGAACCCAGTTAATCAACATATGTGCTGCCTCACACTTACTTTTCACAGTGAGAACATTTAAAATGCACCCTCTTAGCAATGAACAATAATAAAATGCATTGTTATACAACACAGCTCTTGAACTTGGCTTTCTTGCTAACTGAAATTGTCTATCTCCAACATCTCCCGAAACCCTCCCCCTTCCCTATCATTTTCTAGGCAAGGAAGTTGCGGTGCCACCACAGCCAACAGGCAGGGGTGTCACAACATGAATCCATGGTTTCTCTCTTCCAGACAGGGGACAGGCCTCAGCAGGCCTGGGGGTGTGGCCAGAATGCCCAGCCACAGGCCTGATGAGCTTTTAAACTCTCTTCTGTTAGCTGAGAAAACAGTGCATACAAAATTACATTTCTGTTCTAGAACAGATCTGTGTTTGAAAGAAAAATGACATCCTTTCTTGACAATCACTGAATCCACCTGACACACGGGAAAATATAGAGCCCATGTGGGACCTGTGCCAATCTCCCAGGGTTCCTGGGTCCCTGCCCTGCCTGCTCGGCTGCCCATGCTCCCCTGGGAAGTCGGGTGCCCAGTGGCCCCCGCCCTGCAGTCCCGGTCGAGCTGCCGTGGGGCTCGGCCAGGAGGCCTCAGCTGGGCTTTCGGCATCTCTGGTAATGACTTCCTATAAATCAGAGCTGCCCTCACTTTGTTCATGCTGCTCCCGGCCAACAGCAAACTCCCCGCCCCACCTCATAAATCCACCTTCATTTCCTTCCCAAATTTCTTTTAAGGCTTCTTTAATTACCACGTCGCAGCCGGGACAGATGCTCCTTCAAAGGGTGAGGCCAAAGCATGGTGCTCCTGGTGGAGGTGGGAGCAAGTGGGGAGCCTGGGTTGAGTTGCGGGGGGGGGGGGGGGGGGGCAGGGTCACAGAAAGCATTCCGAGCCGGCTGGCAGGCAGCCCCAACACACACACAGGGGACAGCTGCAGGGTGGGGCTGGGTCTGTCCCTCTGTGTGTCCCCTTGGACCCCCTGTTGGGCCTTGGGGCTACTCCATTGGCACTGAGTATGTGCCAGTCCCTGCATAGGCAACGTGCCTGGCTCCTTCTGTTGGTTCTCTGAGTGCTAAGGCGAGCTGGTCTGGGGAGGTTTAACTGGTCCCTTGCCATGTCAGCTGGAAGTCAGGAGGAGTGGGGTTCACATGTGGCAGGCTGCAGCACGAGGCGCTCAGGCACTGAGGGCAGGGCCGAGATCCCTGGGCTGCAGAGGTGGCTCAGGATTCTGGTTTCTCATTTTCCACTTCCTCTGGTTCCGTGCCCTTTGCCCTGGCAAGTACCCATTTCTCAGAACTCCTAGGCATGACACCTCCTGGCACCTCCTGGCTCCATGAGGTCGTGGGCAGCTGAGAAGTTAGGATTTGGAAATGGGGGTGGGTGGGGGAGTGGTCTTGTTGCAGTCTCCAAGAGTGCCAGCTGCTCTCTGCTGTCCTCCAGGGTGAGGGGAAAGGGGGCTCTGAGTCCCCTGAGAGTGGGCACAGTGGCCACTAGATGGCACTGTGACCCAGCAGAGCGGCAGCTGCCAGGCGTGTAAGCCTCCCCACCCCCTCCCGCGGGGGGGTCCATGGCTGGTGCCTGGGTAGCACCATGGCCTGATCTTCAGCCAGTGTGGGCAGGCCTCCCCCTGCTGCCCTGAACACCCCACATAGGCGGCTGCTGCAGCATCAGCAGTCTGGGGCCTGCGGTTCAAGTCCTGCACTCTAGGCCCTGGGGATGCATTCTCAGCGGGTATGGGGTCTTTCCATTCTCTGGCCCTTTGGGTTATGCTGGCTGCGGCAGGTTCAAGTTGGAGGTCACAGAAAGGCAGCTGGCTGTGGCAGGTGAGGCACTGGGGGGTGGGGTGGGCTCTAGGGGTTAGTTCTCTACCAATCTCCTGTGTGACCTTGAGTGTGTGCCTTCTCTTCTCTGGGCCTTGGCTGTGGCTTTGGAAGATGGCAGGGTCTTCCCAGTCCTGCAGCCACCCAGCAGGTGGGTGCTGTGGGGCTTGGCACCCCGAGTGCACATTTGGCAAGGTTCGCTCTCCTCTCAGCCTGCTCAGTGCCCCCCTCTTCCCATCCCTGCCTGCTTCCCAGGCCCCCTGGCACTGGCCTGGCTCTGAGCACTGGCCATGTGCCCAGAACCTCAACCATCAGGCAGGGCTCAGCATGACAGCCCTTACATTTGGGGTGCATTCCTGGAGCTCAAGGGGATACATGGGGCTATTTTTCCAGCCAGATGTCCATGTGTCATCCACAGAGCGACAAGGAGGGGCTGTAGGCCAGTGTTGGGGGGCTTGACGGGCAGGGGAAGGGTGGGTTGTGGAAGGCGGGCAGACAGAACAGTCACTTGGTGGGCCAAATGGCTTCCTGTCGGCCAAACAGCTTTTGGAAGTCGGCAGCACTGCCACGATGCGTCCTCTGGGCACACCAGCTGCCCCGGCCTCCCTCCATCCCTCTGCAGCAGCTCCTCTGCCTTCCTTTAGCACTCCGTGCTCCCAGCTCAGCCCCGCTCAGTTGGCTGGTGCTCCCAGACCCACGCCTGCTCCTCAGCTGTCTCCTCTCGGCCCCTTCCTGCTCGTTCCTCCGTTCCGTGCCAGCTCAGTCAGCGTGAACAATGTCCCCTCTGTGCTCAAGTCTGGCTGCGACCTCCCGAATTCTTTTATTCTCTGCATCAACTGCCCTTCCAGGTCTCGCCTCCTCCGTTCCAACGCATCATTCTCAAGTGCTTCCTCCCTCCCCCACCCCTCCCCCTTTCCTCCCGCTTCTTCTGCAAGATCAAGGCACTTAATTGCCAAGCCAGCCCAGTGCACAGAACGCGGAACTATTTGGAAAAAAATTGACTGTACAAATCTCGGCCGAGGTGCCTGCATGTTTATTCCTGCTCTGAGGGAAGCATGGTTTATTGCTGACACCCGGCCTTTCTGCCGTTCATCCACACACGGAGCTCGCAGGCACTTTGATGGGGCCTGAGCTGTGCAAACTATTTTATGGTCCGGCTATTTATTCCCCCCAAACTTTGTCAGTCACGCCAGCATCCATGTCCACCTTCCAGCAAGGTGGAGAGTTGCCGAGAAAAGTGTCATGGACTTAGGGGAGGTGGTGGGCACCTTTTCTGGGGAGGGCTTCCAGGTGGTGCCCCCAGTCAGGTGGTGGACAGGGGGCGTGGCCTAAAGGATGCCCCTGATGGTCCCAGGGGACTGCCATCTGGGAGGCTCTGTCTTGGTTGGGAGGGATTTGCTGGGAAGGCCACAAGCCAGGAGAGTGTTTCTGTATCTCCATCGCAGCTGGGCATGGGTGAGGTTGGAGCGGACATGAGCCATCATCATTGTACACAGCCTGGCTTCCTGGTCTTTGGCAACCAGGACAGGAACTGGCTGAGCTCTGCCCTCAGCAGGCTGCTGGTGGATTATCAGGGTGATGGCATTTGAAAAGCAGTGCTTTCTAGCCACAAGCTGATAACAGGCCCACCACCTGGAGAGCCGGGTGTGGAAAGCAGGGCTGCCAAGCAGGTACCGGGGAGGTTTTGGAAGAAGTATGTGATTCTTGGAGCTCAGTTACCAGATACGGGACCTGGAAGAAGCGCAGGGATTGAGCGCTGGCCTCCTGGCCCTGAGGTGTGAGTCAGTCGTTTCGTCTGCTGTCGGGGCAGTAGGGAGAACTCTCAGACTCACCCTTTGTGATCTGCCCAAGAGCAGAGCCTTGTTGGGCGCAGCAGGGACTGGGCAGGGGACTCCCGGGAGCCGCAGGTGCCGTGGGGGTGTCTCAGCCCCGCATCCCCACAAGCCCCTAGGCCTGCTGTCCTCACTGCGTCCTCCAAGGCTTGCATCTGCCAGAGTCCACCAGGCACTGGACAGATGGTGACAGAGGCAGCAGGTCGAATAAAGTGCTCCTGTGCCCCTCCCTGGAGACACCTGCTTCGTGGAGGCTCCAAGGGCTTAGATCCCAGCTTGCTGGGCCCCCAACTCCCTGCTCCCAACCCACCTGGGCACCCCGCATACCTGTGTACTTGCTGACTCCGGCTTCGGCAGCCACATCTCTGAGTGCCAAGATGCCCCGGGACAGGTCGCTGGCCTCGGGGTCCATCTCAATGAGTGCATCTGGCCCCACATTACCATGGGCATAGTTGGCGATGTAGATGGCGTAGCGTCCAGAGCCCTGCAGGGCATGGGGAAGGAGGTGGTGAGCAGCCCACCTGGGCTCTGCCCCGAGCCAGATCCCCGGCTCCTGTGGGTGATGCAGGCGGGGCAGACAGTAACCCAAATGGGGCCTGCTCATGCAGGCTGTGATGTGAATGCTGCCCCCAGAGCCGCTCCACGGAGCAGCCCGCAGCAGCATCCCCTCCCATCCCGTTCCGGTAGAGCACCCCAACCCGCTCCCCCACAGCCACCTCTTTATAGACAATTTTCTAATGTGCCTCCCTCCAGCTGCGCTCTCTCCAGCTGCCAGCTAGGGTAGCTGCTCAATAAATATTTGCTGATTGATTGATCCACCAATTCCCATCATTCTCTGTCTCTCGCTCCCATTCGGGCTCACCCTAGCCAAGATGACAAGCAAATTCCCGAGCCACCACCCTTTCCCATTTCCCATCCTGCCCTTCGCATGAAAAGGCCGGGTCTCCCTTCCCTCTCACAGTCCCTTCTCTCCCCGCTGATTACAGAGAGAGACATTTTCTGCAGTTCCCTCCAGAGCACTGGCTCAGGCATCCTCCCACTTGTGGCACCCAGGAGGAATCCTGGGCACCAGCCCTCTCCACCAGGCATTCTCTCGTCCGCCACAGAGCTGCTCAGAGAGTCTGGGCTGCCTGTCGGTTGTTGCCCCAGTGTTATTTCTCCAGTCACTGCCTCCTGCTTCCCTAGAGGGGCACACATTCTCAGTCAGGTGCTAGCAGCTCTCCTCTAGCCTTTCATTGCTTCCCGCCAAGCAGGCAGGCAGCTACATCTTTCTTGAGCACTGACTGTGCAAGGTGGCCTGCTGGAGGGGCTCTGGGGACAAAGTCCTTGTTCTCCTGTGGCTTTCCTTGGAAGGGCAGTCATCAGCACCAGGGGATAGGAGAGAAACAGCCACATGCAAGGTAGCTGGTCTGTGCCCTCGTCGCCCGTCTTCTGGGACCCTGTGCTGGTTTCTGTTATTGCCCTGTGGCACCACGCCCTAAAGTCCTCTCCCGTCTTCCTGTCTGCCCTTTCCAGGGTCTGTTTTCTCCATCGAGGCTGAAGAAGAGCCACGGCAGGTGTGGCTAACACAAGAGATCCTGGGGGTGTCCTGGGGACACGTGGGTGCCTAAGCAAGCAACTGGAGTTGAAGGTAGGGGCTGAGGCATGGCTTCCAGGGTGACGCTAAGCTCAGAGGCCTAGCCCTTCCCTACAAGAGGTTTTCCTGGCCGGGGGTGGGTGGGGGTGTCTCAGCTAGGAGATGTGGACTAGGAAAGAGGTTTTCAGGCAAAGACAAGCAAGACAGTGAAGCACCCAGGGAAGACCATGACCAGCTCGGGCTCAGTGTGGCTGGAATAAAAAATTCCAGGCAGGGAATGTCAAGGCAGGGAGATGGAGGAGGCGACAAAGCTGGCCTCCCAGGACTCCCAGGCCCCTGCCCTTCTGGTTCTCTGCCCTGCTGCCCAGGAAACCACGCAGATCTTGCTCCTGCAGCGTGATGGCATCTGCCAGTGTGCAGGACACAGGGAAGTCAGCCCCACCCAGACCTGCCGAGCCTGAATCTGCATTGTAACAAGACCCACGGGGGCCCAGTTAGAAACGTGCTGCTTTACACTGGAGTGTTGCAAGGCTCTCCCCATCCCAGGGGCATGGTGTGTGTGTGTATAGTATTGGGACAGAGAGCGAACAGGAGGCCACAGGGAAAACACGCCATCATGAACCATTCCCGACCCTACCAGCTGTTAGCAAGCTCATCAACAAATGGGCAATTAAGTCCAAACGGACTGCAATACGCTCTGTAAGAAATCCCGACCTCCATCCCGCCCAGTGGTAGCTAGTTCTTTGCTTCTCTGAAATGGATGAACATCGATGGCTCACAGTGACAGAAGACTGCTCAAGACCACAGCGACTCTGGCCAGGGGAGATGGTTCCCGAGAAAGGAGCCTCATTCTGCAGCTTTAGGTTCTGGGTAGGGGGTTCTCACATATCCGAATCGCTGTAGAGCTTGCTCACACACAGATGCTGGGGCTGGCTATGGCGCAGTGCACTGTGCAAGGCTTGGCTGTTCTGCTTCTGATCCAGTTCCCTGCTAATGCACCCTGGGAAATGAGATGTGGATGGAGCTCGCGGCTCCTGACTTCAGCCATGCCCGGCCAGGGTTGTTTGTGGATATTTGGGCGATGAATCAGTGGACGCAAGATCTCTTTCTTTGTTTCTCCCCCATGCCTCTGTGTCATTCTGCCTTTCAAATAAAATAAATCTTGAAATGCGAGCAGCTGCAGCCGCTAACCGCACCCCCAGCTTCTGACTCAGGAGGTGTGGGCTGGGCTCTGAGAACATTTGTTTCTTGCTGGATCCCAGATGAGGTGGATGCTCCCGTTCTAAGTGCACCACTAGAACCCTGATCTAGGGCTCTCCACCTGCACCCCAGCACTGGCTCTGTGGCCCGGAGCAGACCTCGCATGGCCTCGAGGCTGCATTCTGTCACACGTGAAATGGGGACTACATTCTCCCTGCTTCCTGGCAGGGCTGTTGAGAAGATGAAATGAGACAACGCCTGTGAAAGGTCTTTGAAAAGATAAAAATGCTATATAAACATGAGGCATAATCATTATAGATCAGGGCACGCTTCTTGTAAGAGATCGTGGACTTCGAGCTGGATCCAGAGGGAGAGGTGTAAGGAGGCAGCAGCAGACAAAGGGCAGGCAGAGGTTCCAGGTGTGGGGCAAGAACAGGGGGCAGGGGAGGGGAGGGGACAGCATGGGTGGGGGCTGGGCTACTCACTGGGCACTTGGGCTTCTAGATGTAGCATTGTAGCCACTGGCCGGGCTAACTGACCCCCTCTCCCTCATGTCTTAGGTCTGGCAACTGCCTGCCTGCCTTCCTTCCTTCCTTCCTTCCTTCCCTCTCTTTCTTTTTGTTTCTTTTCTTCTTCTTTTAAAGTTTACTTATTTATTTGAAAGTCAGTTACTGAGAGAAAAACACAGATCTTCCATCTGCTGGTTCATTTCTCAAGTAGCTGCACCGTTAGGGCTGGGCCAGGCAGAAGCCAGGAGCCAGGAGCTTCCTCCAGGTCTCCAATGTGGGTTCAGTGGCCCGAGGACTCAGGGCACCCTCTGCTGCTTTCCCAGGTGCATTAGCGGAGAGCTGGATCAGAAGTGGAGCATCTGGGACTTGAACTGGTGCCCCCACAGGGGGCTGTCATCGTAAGGAGGCTTTACCAAAGCACCAGACTCTGCCCCTGCATTTCTGATAGTGCTCATGCTGATGGTTTGGGGACTACACTTTGAGATCTGCTGAGCAAGCGCACAGAGCCCCAGTGGGGACTACGGGACCAAGAACGACTGGTGTCAAGAATGCTGTGGTAGCACTCATGGTTAGAAACCAGCGTCTGGTGTTATTTCATTCACAGGCAGGATAGCAGAGGCAGGCGGGGCTTGGTTCCTGGCTTTGCCTGCACAGGGCTGTGTGGCTAAGGTCAAGCTGCTGAACCGCTTGCAGCCTGAGGTTCTGGATCTCTCCAGTGGACCCTGATGCACCTGCCTTACAGGGCAGATGTGTGCCAACCCTCAGCATGGGGCGCGGCACATGTGTCCTTAATGCCTGCCAGCTGCTGTCTGTGTCATTGTGCCGTCCTGTCCCTGAGCTCCCCCTGCCCTTGGCCTCTGCCTGCTCCCCTCTCATCAGTACTCAGGCCCGAGAGGGTGGCTACACTCCAAAGTAGCCCCTCTCCTGGGAGTGGACCAGATCAGCTGTCAGGTTTCGTTATTCCTGAGGCTCAGGGGACAGGCTGAGGCCGGGGCTGAGTCCCCGCATGTGCTGGGGAGTGGGATGGTTTTGGTAGGTGTGCTGACCTTGTCAGGACAAAAAATGCATCTCTCATGGGTGCCCTCCACACCCCTCGATCAATTTGCCGAGAAGTTTCCCGGCACCCAAGTACGGCTGGAGAACATGAGGAGATGAGCATGAGGCCCGGGCCCTCCCCACCCCAGACTGCGCCCAGAGCCTCTCCCTGTCCCTGTCATTGCCCCCCACACCCGCCCCCTTAAGCAGGCAGGCGTCCAGGTGGCTTCGATTCAGGTCAGGGCTAAATGTGGCTTCACAGCCCAGCTTGGCTCCTCTTCCCAGCACCAGCTTGTTAAGAAATAAATATTTATACCTGGCACCTGCCTTCTCCCAAGGCCTAGAGGCCCCCTGCTGCGAAGCTTCACGCTGAATCCCCAAACCCTTCAGTGTCATCACAATCCCGGGGTGAGCCACTCCCCTTGCCCCCTCTCCCAGCACAGGGGATGGAGCCGTTTCGTGGAAGCTGGGCAGCAGCTGGGGCTCTGATCCAGAGCAACTGCTGATCAAGCCAGGGAGGGGGGGTGGCAGGGGAGCAGGTGACAGGAGGGATAAATCACTGCCACCACAAGCTTCGGGCTCCTGCTGGGCCTGCCAGGACAGGAGCCCCCCGCCCCATGCAGTGCACGGCAGATGGCTGCAGCAACTCCCGCCCTTCCCACTCAGCCTTCCTTCCCCATCCAGGGGTACACGGCAGGCCTGGAGGCAGGAAAGGAGCCCTGAGTCAGTACAGAACTGTCCCCCAACCAGTTCTACCCACCCATGATCTCCTCTGTTGGGCCTTGATCTGTTCACAGGTGCTCAGGGCTCCGTGCCATGCACCTCTGCAACGTTTGCTGAATGAATGAATGAGCACAGGGTTTAGAACTAGAAGATTCCGGCTCACATCCTAGCCACAACCACTAACCCATTTTGGGTCCCCAGGCAAGTGGCTGGCTGCCCAAGCTGGCCAAGTCCTCTCTAGGTCCCAGGGGACCTGCTGGGAGAAGGCAGTGCGCCATGGGCTCTGACTCTCTTGCAAGGCCAGGCTCTAATGCTCAGTGCCTACCCCTGGGCACAGGGGTTCACCAGGTAGTATGGCTGCGGGTTCTGCCTTGCACAGCCATGCTGTGCCATCTGCCGGCTCCTTTCCTGGCAGTTGCGTGCCTTCTGCTTCCCCTTAGCCCCCATGCCACCTAGTACTCACCGTCCTGTCCACACAAGCCACAGAGCGCCCCGCAAAGAGGTTGGCCACGCCACGCGCCACGTTGACCTCATCACTCAGGATATCTTCCCAGCGGTTGTTACGGAACTTGAACAGCTTGTCTGTGTATGTGGCCACTCCTAGAGAGAGGAATGGAAGGAGGAAGAGAGGGCAAGCACACGGTGGGCTCAGACGAAGGTTCTGAGCTCCAGGTATGCCTTATGGCAACTGCCACCAGGTGGTCGGGTCCATAGTGGACGGTCATTTGCTATGAGGAAGAGTTCACCCCGTCCACCTTGTAGCAGTCATGCCTGGCCAGACGCCCCTCTCCAGGAGCACCCCGCCTTCCCTGCTAGGCTGCAGGACATGACCTGGGTCTCTGAAGAAATGGTCTCGCTTGGTGGGTAGGTCTCTAAGCCCACGTTGAGGAAGGCACCGGAGTGTGACCAGGGGTGAGGTGGTTCAGCCTGGAGCTGGCTGCAGGGTTAGGGGGGCCCTTAGAGGCTCCTCTCCTGGGCTGGGAGCCTCAGAGCACGTCTCCACTTTTTTTTCCCCCTGGTCTCTTGGAGGACTGGAAGGAAACCAAGGACCTCCAGCTCACCTCTCTCCAAAGGCGAGTTCAGGGATTCTGGGACTTTGGAGCCTGCTTCCCACTAAGCCTTTGCTCTGGGGATGTGGCCGGAGTCCCCAGCACTTCCAAGTGACCACCAGGCGGAGCTCCACCCTCCACCCCTCTCGGAATTTACTTGCTGCTCTTGGGAGGCCAGAGTGTTCACATACCCTGGGAAGGGACCACACTCCGCCTTCATGATGAACACAGGTAGAGTGGCTGCGGAAGCTGAAGGAGCTGGGGAGGCTGGGCTGGGAGAAGACCAGGAGACAGAGCCCCGAGTCCGACTCTGGCCAGCCAGGGAGGAAGCTGCGGGCTCAGGCTAGTGGCAGGCAGTGTGGGAGGGCAGGGCAGAACTCGGGATGTGGACGAGCAAGTCCAAGCCCTGATGCTTGTTCACCTTAGGGTCTACCCGGGTGACTCTAAGAGAAGGTGAATGAGAGCAAAGATAAATGGCCTCTTATGACTCAGCTAGGATTGGACAGGGGATCTGGTCCCTGGGACTTTGTGAGAGGCCCTGTGGGAGCTGGACCTCCTCTGTGGGGGTGGACAGTGGCTCAGCCCCCTGCTACTAACCATGATGATGTCCTGCAGGGAACCTATTTGCATGAAGTGGGACCAGCAGAGGCTGTAACAAGCTCCCCTGGGCCCAGGGCAGGTTGTGCTGTATCCACTGGGCTTCCCGTACAGCACTTGTGGCCTCCAGTGCTGGGCCTTGGATCCAGGCCCCAGTCACTGTAGCTGATGCAGAGGCAGCAGTGAGCACCCCACAACTTCCAGGTGCCCAAGAGCCTCCAGGTTAGCCTCTGCACTTCCAGCCTCTGACCCTGGCCAGCTGCAAGTATCCCTCACCCAGCTCCATTGAACCTGGGCCGCCTGAACCTGTGCAGCTCCGGCCAGCCTGGTCTGGAAATGCCCAGGGTTACACTCCCCTAGCTGGCAGGAGCTCGGAGGGCTCCTCTGGCCTCAATGGAAGAAATTTCTCAAGTTGTCCAGCTTTACTTCAACCTGACAAGAAAATAGGCTCAGGCTGCCTCTACCTGCTCTGCTTGACCCCGGTCTTTGTGAGTGGGCCTGGAGCAAGGATTCTACCAACATCTGGGTTTGGGAAAGGCTCATCTCCCTTTGGAAGTGCCACCATGGACCTTAATCTGCTACAACTTCGAAAAGTGTTGCAACAGATGACCTGCCTGGTTCTATTTTGTTCAACTCTGCCCTTCTCAGGCATACTTGGTGTGCTGCCTCTTTTGTTTGTTTTTTCAGTGTTGCACACCACCTGTCAAGCACCTGTGGGGCCAGCATTGCTTCCAGCTAGGCATTGTCTTAGGGTGCTGACATCCGGGCAGGCTCTGGGCTTTGTGGCCAGAGGGCTCAGGGTGCTGTGTGCTGGCCCCACTGTCTCCTGGCTTCCGAGCTCCGCAGGGATGCCCAGAAGAATAAACTAATTAAGGTAAAATGTGCAACAGCAATGCGGGGCCTTGTAGATCATAAGCGGGAACGGCAAAATCAATGGCAGCCCCTCTGCAGGCAGAGGCCTGCAGGCCTGGGCGACAGGAGGACAGGAGCCGGTGATTTAGGAAGAGCAAGCGGTCTGGCAGCTGCAACCTGGGTAATTAGGTGTGTCAGGAAGACAGATAAACAGCGAGCTGTGCAGGTCGATGGCACAGGCAATAAACACCCAGTCCCGGCCCCCGGCCCTTGTCAGTGCCCACGCTTGCCTTCTGGCTCTGTTAGCTGCAGGCTGCCCCAGGGTCCCTCACCTAGCCCGGGAATGCTGACCTGAAAGAGGAGAAAAGGACTGTGTTTGGTGAGAGGAGACGTGGGAAAACCAGGAAGGCATTATTCAGGGACAGGGTCGTGACTTCCAGAGGAGACACTTCTAAGAATTCACATTCCCAGGCCAGATTCTGGGATTTGACATTTAAAGAGTCTTGCTGTCACAGGGTCCAGGGGATCTGCTGCTTCCTGCCGGGCACCCGTGGTTAGGCTCAGGGGGTGCGGTTCAGATGCCAGGTGCTGCGGGAGGACATGGAGAGGCACAGCCTCTATTCCTGACTCAGAGTGCTTATGAGGGCTAGGCAGACCAACAGGGCACTTCACATGCACTCACTCCTTAACCCTATTTTGCAAACAAAGCACCAAGGCCCAAGAGATGAAGGGGTTTGCCTAACAGTCCACAGCCAGCACAGCACAGCAGCACAGGAAGGGGGAAATGGGGCCCTGTGTTTCCGAGAGAGGAGACAGGCATCTGCCCAGGATGAGAAGGACCAATGGAACAACACTTGGGTGTGGAGTGCTTGGTCTGGCCAGGCTGAGTGAAGCAGCTGCTCACAACCATTGCCTCATCCAAACCCCGGAGTCCCATTTTACAGATGGGGAAATCAGCAGCCAACAGGCTGAATCGATCGCCCAGAGCAGGTAAGTGATGGACCAGGTCAAAGGTGGATGGTTGTGACTGTGGAGTCTGTACTGTGCACTGTGAGCCACAGCATGGCCAGGCAGGGAGGGACAGCGGCCCTCCAAGCAGGCAAGGTGGCAGGAAGAAGGCACAGAGGGGACCTGGAGCCTGCCCAGGAGCACGGGCTGTGAAGCACTCCCTGGGGGGAAATGTGGCGGAGTGGGGAGCCCTAGCAATCCCAGGACTGAAGGCAAGGGGGCCACTGCTGGGGGGTGTCAGAAGGATGCTGTATACAGGGAGCCCAGCAGGCATGGGAACAAGTAGTGGGTGGCCAGCACTGTGGGAGCATGTGGCGGGCAGCCTGTTCTGTTCTGTGGGTTCTCAGGGCTGACAGATGTGGTGATGATCTCTGTGGAAGGAACCTGAGTAGGACTGGTGGGGGTGGTGGGCAGAGCAAGGGGGGTTAAACTGTGTGGGGACAGTGACCCAAGCAGGTACAGGAGGCCAGCTGGGTGGTGAGGAGCAGCTTGGTTTCAGATAGTTTGCAATTGGAGTGGTCACCAGGGGGCCAAGAAGACCTGGCAATGAAGGATGGCAAGTCACACAACCGGGGATGGGAAAGAACAGGGCTATAGCGTGAATCCCAGGAGCACCATGTTAGGGGCACAGCGGGGAGGGGGAGAGGCAGTCGAGGAACAACCGTCAGGCATACAGGCTGGGAAGGCGGGGTTGGCTCTTCATCTGGAAAGGTTAGGGCATCCAGACCAGTGGTGTCAATCAAGCCAAGTTACCATCCTGTTGTCCTGTCTCACCCAGCACCACCCCCCGGGGGCGGCCTGGAGCCACAGGGAGGAAGGCTCTTCTGCCAGGACCTGTCTCCAGTGCTGCAGATGACCCGACTCAGGGTCTGAGGCTGGTGACAGGTGTGTGTGACAGGGCAGCGGTCTCCACCCCGCCCCAACCTCCTTCTATGGCAAAGAGAGTACAGAAAACAGCACAGTAGAGGCGGTAGCCAGCGACGTTCCCTTCCCTGGGGTGTCAAATGGAATCATGAGAACAGCCCCCCATTCCTTCATCAGGCTGGGAGGGCTAATGGAATGATGTCAAGGGCTTTATACAGTGCTGGGCACCTGAGCAGTTCAATGATAACCACCGTATCAGCATCACCAGCATCAGGGAACCCCGGTGCACAGTAAGGTCTGTGGCAGGCCACAGGAGGTAAGTGTGTCATCAGGCACTGAACGTTTTAGCAGACTCGGTTACTGGAGAACCAGCAGGGCAGGGAAGACCTTGGGGCAAGGCAACCTTAGAAAGGGGTGAACTCTGACCCCAGCTTCCTGCCCTTGACAATGATGTCCCATGATCACCCCACCAGGAGAGGTGGTGCCTTCATGCCACAGGGAGATGGTGCTCTGAGGGTTAACTTGTCTGTCTGGGGAGGTTCAGCTGTTGTGATGTGGGCTGGAGGCTGCACAGCCCTCACGTGGTTTGGGTGACAGCAGCAGCTTGTAGCAGGCAGTCCCAGCTGGCTCTACGCTGGGATCAAGGAGTGGCCTCCAGGGCCGCATACACTGCCCTGTGCAGCTCTCTCTGGCAGCCACGGAATGTCCTCACTGAATGATGAGGCACACTGGGAGGGGAGGGGCCCAGGACCATTTCCCCCTTGGGGCCCTATTAGGAGAGTTGCATCCATGTGGAACCTGGCTGGCTGGGAAGGACAAGAAGAGGGTGGAGACCCAGGGTAGGGCAGCTCAGACTGCTGGGCTCAAGGAAGCTCCTGGACCTTGAAGCAGGGTGTGGTCTGCAGAGACCTCAGAGTCTGTATTGCTGTGAGCTTCTGGTTGAAGGCGAAGCCGTGGGGGCCACGCATCACACCTCTGCAAGGTGCAGAGTCTGCAGGGTATGAAGGCGCTCCTGAGGTGGCCCAGTGCCACCGCCTGAGGCCCCTGTCCCCTCTCTGGCATGCAAACCTCTCCCCAGAGGTCACAAAGGCCCCGGGGCCTCTCTAGCCACCACCTGGAGCCCAGCAGCCAGCAAATTCACAAAATGAAAGTTTCCCTGCTACAAAACTTAACATGAGAGAAAAAAAAAAAAAGAAAAATGACAAGAGACAACTCATCGCGACTCATGTATTCCAGGCAAAGGGCTGATTTCCCTAATTTATAAAGAGGTGTTTTGGATCCAGAAGGAAAAGGCCAATAATCAATAGAAAGACGCGGGCAGAGGCTTCGAGTAGACCACAGTTGCAAATACATAAAAACCGTCGCAGCCTCACTCATTTTAAGAAAAATGAAAATTAAAACTACACTTGGAAATCAATGTTTTCCCATCAAGTTGGCAAATACTAAAAGAAATTGATGACATATCTTCGTGGGGAGGGCGGACAGTGCACTCAGAGGGGAAGGATGGAAGTATGCTGTCCCTAGCAGGTGCTGTTGGCTTGCCTGGCAAAGCCGTGCTGCCAAGTCCTCTGAGGGGGCAACTCCCTCTCCATGAGCGTCTCACACATACACCTGCAGGCGTGGCCACAGCTGCTGCACGGGACACCTACATCTCATACTGGAGCGCCAGCTTGAGTTTCAGATCTTCTGTTTCTCATTCAGCTCCCTGCTAAAGCTCCTGGGAAGGCAGGGGAAGATGGGCTGGGTCCTCGGGCCCCTGCCATCCCATGAGAGTCAGATGGAGTTCAGGGCCCTCGGCTTTGATCTGCTCCAGCCCTGGCTCTTGCAGGCATCCTGAGATGTGAGCCAGCAAAGGAAAAATCTCTCTCTCTCTCTCTCTCTCTCCTTCTTCCACCCCCATCTCTGCCTTTGTAGTAGATGAAAATAAATATTAACACATACAGACAAAAAGCAAACCCCAAGCCATTAAGCTGCAATTGTGTCAAGTGGTACCATGCACAGACTTGCCCACTTGGTGCACTTCTTATAAGGGCAAAAGATTATAAACACTAAATGTCCATTGGTTGAGGACCCATGGAATTCATGCCGAGCTTATCAATGGAGTAGTATACAGTCATAAAGAGAGTGAGAAAGCTCTGTGAGTGGCCATGGACTGGTGTCTGGAATGCACTGTCATGTGATGTCAGATGACAGATGCAAGGTGCAGAACCGCGAGTGGGACCTGTGAGTGTCATGTACACAGGGGGGGACAGGTGAATTCTTCAAACAGTGCCTGGTGTATGGCAGATCTCCACACCTTTTTGGTTTATTTAAATGGGTAGAAGTAAGGTGAATGTGGCTGACTCAGCCACTGCCCATGTGCTTGGCATGTCAGGCCTGTCTGTGGGCAGTTCAAGGCCACTCAGTGAAGGCTGATGTGGGCCTGTGGAGGGCCCCACAGGGAGGGGCTCGATTAGGGAGCTGCTGGTCCTGCTTCTGGTCCCCCTGATGCCCTGCACATGCTCCCACCTGGCTCTCACTGCGTAGCACTGCCTGGAACACTGCCTTGTATTTTCCCAGGTGGATCAAGTCATAAACTGGTCTCGTGGCCCTGGCCTTTTTGGAGTGGGGGCAAGCTTCCTCCTTGCCTTCTCTCTCACCTGACTGCCACTCCTCACCCTGGATGCATTCCCCCTGGCGCCTTCATCTGGGCAGTGCTTATACTACGGCCCTGTTCTCTATGCCAGGACACCTGCAGAGAAGACCACTCGGAGAGTGCTTACCCAGCCCTAGCACGGCCCCAGCTGCTTTCCTGTCCTTAGCTTTGGTTGTCCTTAATGCTTAGTAAGCGATAAGCACTTCTCAGGGCCTGCAGCTCAACAGTTGAGTAAGATGCAGCGCTTGCCCTGCCCGAAGAGGCCTCCAGCGGGAGACACCAGCAGGAAACCCTCAGTGAGTGTTGTGCAGGGGCCAGTGGAGGAGGAATGGTAGGACAGGCACGATGGCTTTAGACGAGGTGCTCCCAGAAGACCTCATGTGAGGGCTCTGAGACCATCGGGGGAAAGCATTTGGGGCAGAAGGAACAGCAAGTGCAAAGTTCTCCAGCAGGAATGGAGTTGAACAGACATGGAGAGAATGAGGTCAGGGCACCCCAAGTGGTTTCAGGAGGGGCAGGGATCTAGTCCAAGGCTGCTGAAGGAACTGAGCTCATGAGGTTGTAGGACTCTTCCTATGCCATGGATGAAGGATCTGGAACTGACAGGGGCCAAGTGGGTCACCCACGGTCACCCAGTAAGTGCAGGCTGAATCCCAAGCCTGACTGACCCCACAGGACACTGGGTGCAGGGACTTCATTGCATCTGGCCAGTTGAGGCAGGTCAGTGGACCTGTGCCTTTGCCGGGGCCCTCCCACTCTCCAGCACAGGCTATGGGAGGCCCAGGCTGAAGGCTGTGGACTGGCCGGGGCCGGCAGGGCTCCGGGAGGGACTGCAGGTTTCTCTCCGTGGTCAGGGTGGCAGTGGTTGAGTGCGTGCCAGCTGGCCCCGAGGAAGTGCTGACCTGGCACAAATGGCAACGAATCAATTGAATCACTCAACCGAAAAATTAACTCAGACCCACAGAACGTCGCCAGGAGGTATGTGTCCAGGTCCAGCTCTGGCCACTGTCCTCGTCCTATGGCCCTACAGCTCTGGCTCCTCCAGGGGGAACGTTTGGGCCTCCACCCCAACATCTTATGACTTCCTTCCCTCCTGCTGCTCCTCATGGCCAGGGGCCCACCTGCTCTGCCTGGACTCAGCCAATTCTAAGGAAACTCCTAAGATGGTCAGATTGGGCTGGGGTCACTCAGGGCCAGAGTGACTGGCACAGGGACATGGTCTTGAAGCTTAGAGTCAAAGGTCTGGCAGAGGAGGTCAAGCATCTGGAAAGGTACCAGGCCTCTCTAGGGACACAGTGGGAACTCCATGAGGGTGGGAGTACTGTGCTTCAGGCACTAAGCTGTCCTCTGCACCTGCAATAGTGTCTGGCATTGAGTTGGGACCCAGTAATGGCAGGCAGACATGGAGGGACGTGCCGAGTTTTCTACCAAGCAGATTTGGGGGTGGTGGCCCCTCATCTCAACCGCCTGCAGGAATCGGCTGAGGAGCTCTATAATCTGATCCCTGGCTCCCCAGATCCGGGTTGGGGTGCTCAGGAAGCAGCTGAATGGGGTTTGTTGAGAGCAGGTGCAGAGACGCAGCCCTACTCTGGGTTCACAGTGGAGCGCGAGAGCGGCTGTTGCCTTGGGAAGCCCTGGCAGCTCCCACGCAGGTGCTCTGTGCAGGCTGCCGAGCCTGCATACAGAAGCCCTTCTGTCATCCTCCCTGTTCCTGCCTCCCAGGCCTTCCAGAACCTTCCTTAGGATTCACCCTCCTGCAGGCATCCGTTGGTGTTGCCCCCTTTCCGACCTTGCCCCACATGGCAGAGCTGATCAGCCCATCAATTAATTGTGTCCTAATCCAATCTCGCCTCGGTTGGCGAGAGGGCAGTAAATCCAGCTGGGTGCTCATGCCCTGATATTTGTGTAGGGATAATTACTATCTCTCAGGCCTCACTCGGTGGCAAGATGAGATGAAAACCCATAAAACACCACTCGGGGCTGTGGCTCATTGTTTCTTGGCTGCACACGGCTGGCTGTCAGCCAGCACCTCCCGCCCCTGCCTGTGACATGGGCTCCAGCCCTTCTCCTCCCATTCATGTGGCTGGCAGGGCAGTCTGGGGACCTCAGCAGGGCTCAGGTTTGGCAACCAGTAGGGATAGCATTATGACCCATGAGAATGGTATGTGTGTGTGTCTGGGAGATCCCCAAAGCCTTGTAATCTCCAGCCTTTAAGAGGCTGGGAGGGTCTGGGATGGTGACTGCCCTGGTCTGAGCCACAAGGTCTCATCCAAAAGAGCCTGTTGCTAGGTGGGGAGTGAGAGTGCATTCTGCAGGTACACGCATGGCCGGGGCCTCTTGAACAGCTGTGCCGGCTCAGGAGGGACTGGCCACAACCCCAGCAGGTTGAGGTCAGACCCGAGAAACCATGGAAATCATGGTGGCAGTCAGCTACAGGAACACAAGGCAAGCTGGGTGCTGTCCCAGGAGGGCAAGACAGAAATTTCTGGAGGCCCAAGGGTGCTCAATACTATATGAGATTTTCCAGAAGCCATGAGAAGCGGGTGCTATGAGGCTGATGTTCAATGGTTAACGTGCAGTGCTTAGAGCCCAGCACAGCAGGTGGTACCCGAGCATCAGCTGCCACTGGGCATCATTGCTGCTCCTCAGCTTCGAGGTCCAAACCATGTACCCAGCCCTCTGTGTGTGGGACTTTGCTCCTCCAAGTGTGGCCCCTGAAGGGCAGCCCAGTCCTGGAGTGCATCCAAAATGCAAGGTCTTGGCCTCCTGAGCCCCAGGGACTTGGATGCTATGGCTAGAGAAGGCCCAGCCAGAAAGTCTCCGTGCACTCCTCAGCAGCCTGCCCATGGCCCCTGGGAGCTGGCTCTGAGAAGATAAGCAAGAGCTGTGAAGGTGCCCTCTGTGATCCCAGAGAGATGCTGATGGACAAATGGTACAGGCGGGGAAAGGAAGGGAGGGCAGACAGGAAGGGTCTTAGGGTTGTATAGACATAGGTCAGAGCATCTGGGGACAGTGGCCTTTGCTCATGCTGCTTCCCCACCTCTGTCAGGGCCTGGGAGACAGAAATGTGAGCCTCCTGCAACTGGGAAGAGTAGGTCCTGCTGGTGCCTCTACCAAGGGAGCACAGAACAGAGCCTGGGAACCAGTGACAGGAGTTTGAGGAAGGGTTCCTGTTGCGCTGCCCTCAGCAGGGGTGGAGCAGGAAGGGCCGGGAGCCTCAGTCCTTACCTGAGAAGGCGTTGTTGGTGTTGAGGAAGTAGATCTCCTCACGGCCGTCCCCATCGATGTCACAGGCTGTGACCCCAATGGCGTTTCCCTGGCGGTCCCGCAATGCATAGTAGGGCGAGCTGCGCTCATCCACGGCGATGTTCACCAGCCGCTTCTGAGGCCGGTCATACTTCAGAACCAGGTTGGGGCCATTGTACCTGGAGGCGGAAGGGGGCAGGGCTGCTGGGGAGGAGCAGCTAGGCCCACCCTGGCCCACCCCACCAGCATTGGGCTCAGTCCTGGTGCTTTCCAGGGGAGCCCTCAGCAGCCTTTCCTTAGGGGTCCCTGAGTGTTCTGAGTCAGAGTAGGATATAGGCTGAGAAAGTCAGCCGGACCTAGGTGGGACACACTCAAGCAGCAGGGCGTGGAGGGGAGTGGGCAGAGTGACAATCCCCTTGAAAACAAAAACCTCCCTGACACTTCTCTTTCACCATATCATTCGTTTAGATCTAACAGCCCATTTGATAGACAAGGCAACCGATGAAGCTCTTTAGAGAAATGCAGGTTCAGAGAACTTCCCCAGGTCACACAACCAGTGAATGGCAGGTGCAGGGTCTCTAGGCCAAGTTCCTTCTGCTCTCCCAAGAGCTGTCATGTGAACAGCCTTGGAGGAGCAGAAGGCTTTGAGATTTGGGATAACTCTCTCCTGAAAGGAGATCCCAGCATCTAAGCAGGAGCCTGAAGTTAGCATCTCAGGTTGGCGAACACAGGTGCATCTGAAGTTGTTAGGAGAATCTGTCTGACTGCTGGGTCCAGGGAACTCAGGTCCACAGATGGGGAAGCCCAACAACGGTCATCTCTCCCATGCTGCCTCTTCCTGCTGAAGCCCCAAGTATGTTCTTTCTTTTTGAAAAAGAAATATATCTCTTAACTTCATTTTTCCTTGAACTTTTAAAAAGTTTATTTTTGTAAATTTGAAAAGCAGAACAGCACACATTCACACGCAGAGATAGAAGGATTTGTCATTTGTTGGCTCAGTCTAAATGACCAAACCAGGGCTGGGCCAGACTGAAGCCAGAAGCCTGAACCTCTATCCAGGTCTCCCATGTGGCTGGTTGGGGCTCAAGTACTCGGGCCATCATCCGTTGCCTCTCAGGATGGGTTAGCAGGAAGCTGGGACTGGAACTGGCACTCTAATCTGGGGTGTTCCAGTGGTACCTGCCCACAGCCCCAGGCACACTCTTTCCTCAGGGACTTAGCACATGCAGCCCTCTCTGACCAGAATGTTGTTCCTCCACATGGCTGGCTCTGTGCCTGCTTCAGGCCCTTCTCTGGGACAGCTTCCCTGCCCATGCTTTAGAAATTTGCAACAAGCACTGCCCACTCCCAGCACGCTCCGTCCCTCCCTCTGCTCTCGCACAGCTTTCACCACTGGCGGATGATTCTGCGCTTCTTGTTCATTTTTCCCTTCACTGGTCCCAATTAAGCTCCAAGAGGGCAGAATTTTGTCTGTTTTGTCCCCAGTATTGAACAACTGTCTGCCACACAGCTGTTGCTCAGTAAATGTTTGTGGGAGGAATGAGTGAAACCCCAAACATCAGGTCTGAGCCAAGGGACAGAGGTGTCCCCTGGTCCCGTTCTCCCCATAAGAGTGCATGCCAGAGGCCTCCCGAGGTAGCAGTGTTGCGAAGGTCTGAGGACTCCACCCACCTTCTGGGAACATAGCTTGCCTCAATTCCAGAGGAACCCAGTCAAACCCCACTAACACATCCTAGCCCCCTCTGCCGTGCTGGAACCCTAGCAGGTGCATCCAAGGTGCAGGAGAGCCCCAGGAGAGGCTTGGGAGGCAGAAAAGCGCTGTCCAAGGTACTGGAAAAGGCACTTCTTTCCCCAACAGTGCCAGGAATCCCTCTCCTTCCTTTCCAAGATGTAGATGCCAGGGAGGACTGGGGAAGGCTGAGCACTGGGTGGCGATGCTTCCTGGCACTCTCGTTAGGGGCTGAGTCAGCATCCTGGGTGAGAGGGTGACACCTTGATGGACAGCACCATGTGCAGGTAGCTCCAGGCCCTGGGGAGAGGCAGTGCTGTGTGGGCGCTGATTTCACCCTGAAGGCCGGCCCTCAAGAACGTCAGTCACATAGCTTGTTAGCGCAGCACTGGGTCTCTGACTGTGTCCTAAGGGTCTGAATCCTGTGTTCCTTCCACGTGGAGTCCTATGCATGAGAACTCAGAAACGGCTGAGTACCTCATGCAAACAGCGGCGATCATAACAGCACTGCCTCGTCACTGTGCTTCACAGTTTATAAAGCACTTTCTCATCTTTGATCTCATTTGCTTTTTAAAGTTTATTTTCATGTATTTGAAAGAGAGAAAGAGAGGGAGGGAGGTTCCTTCAAATATACAAAGTAGTCAGGACTGGGCCAGGCTGAAGCAAGGGACCTGAAGCTCCACCTGAGTTTTCCCCATGGGTAGCAGGGCCCAGGCATCGAAGCCATCACCAACCTTCCCAGAGTGTGGCATTAGCAGGAAGCTGGATTATAATTGGGGACCCTGAGAAGGGATGCAGGCAGCCAGGTGGTGACTTAACTGCTGTGCCAAATGCTTGCCCCATTTGCCTCTTAAAGGGCCCAGTTTTTGCAGAGATGAAGCTGGTGGTGTAGGGTTGGTCAGTTCTCCCACTTGAATCTCCTCTTTTGTGAAAAATAAGAGCTGCACTAATTTACAGGACCACAGAATGTGTGGACAACTATGGCTCTTGGAGTCACTCCTGAGCCTGCCACTGTGTCCGTCAGAGCCTTTCTCTGCTGATGCTGGTATTGTGTGTGTGTGTGTGTGTGTGTGTGTGTGTGTGTGTGTGTGTGTTACAGTCCCAGCTGTGTTAAGAATTCTAGAACCTAGGTGAGGAGCTCTGGGGGTCTGGGTATAGCTATACCCCAATGACAAGCACCGAGCAGGGGCCCCTCTCCCAGGCTGTGATGAGGAGCCACCATCAGATGCCAGCCCTGACCCCTCCTGGCATCTGCACTCTTTTCTTTTCCCCAAGCCCAGGTTCCCAGGGGAAAGGTGGGAGAAGGTTGGACCTTCTGTTTTAATTGAGGTGGCCAGAGTATGTACCCAAGGTCCTTGCACTTACAGCATCAGCCCTGACTCATCTTTTCTTCACTCCTGCATGCCTAGGGACAGGCACGAAGCCAGATCAGCAGCTCCAAGGTACAGTTCTTGGCAAGCAAGGTGCAAGGCCACGGGTGGAATGCAGGTTTGCCAGCCCTTCCCCGCCTGCCAGGGCACCCTTGGCTGGGGCTGCAGCCCCACCCTGGGAGCTCCCATAGTCTTACCCCTCCCTGCTTGCTCTGTATCTGCCAGAACCTGTGTCTTTGCTCAGGAACCACCCCATTCCACGTGGAGCCTACCCTGACTGCTGGGTGTGGTCTTCTCAGCTCCGGATCCCTACACAATCTGTACCTCACCCATTCCTGTGTGGGCAGAGCTGCCAGGTTCCACCCTCACCCCTTCTGTTACACACACACTTTCAGAGTGCAGGAGAGTGGATGCACCTGTATTCTACTGTGCCTAGTGTAGTGTATAGCACACAGAAGGTGCTTAATAAATGCCTGTTGGATATAAGAACAAATGAGTGAGTGAACGAATGAATGAAATCAGCAGAGGGGTCGCCATGTGTCTGGTATTATTCTAAGTGCTGCTTGCCCATCTCATTACATCTTCATGACAATTGGAAGGTGCAGGTTCTAGAGGCAAGGGGCCTGGGGCGAGGCCAGGAGTGGTCTAGGAGTGAGGTTGTAGCCCCTGCCTGGCTCTGACCTTGTGCTTGTCACCAGGTCCCTCTGAGCTTCAGTCCCACATCTCTAACCCAGGACTGCTCCACACCTCTCAGGACTGGTGTGAGACCTCATTGTGGCAACACTGGGTAAACTGTGAAGTTACACAGTTACAAGATCTCAGCATCAGTCAAAAGTCCCAGGAAGCCACAGCTCAGCAAGCTGGGTGGGGTGGGAGAAGACTGGACCTTCTGTCTTAACTGAGGTGGCCAGAGCATGCACCCAAGATCCTGTACTCACGGTATTGGCCCTGTTTCCCTGGGGAAACCACAGCTTCACTGCAGCCCTCAGCCTGCTGATCCTCTGCGAGGGTTCACCTTTTATGCTATCCACTGCCACAGACTACACCCCAATGCCCTGGTGTTCCCCACTGCCTCAGTGCTCTCAGGGTTACCCCCCAGGCACCTGCCACATCCTTTTCTCTTGCTGCCTTTTGACTGTGTTGCCTATTTCCTGTGCTCTCTCTACCGTTCCCCTTCCAAATCCTCTCTCCTCTCGCCACCTTCTCAGGTCAGGGCTCCCAGGTCCTGCTCCAAAGCCTTCTTGCCTTCCTTCTCTCTGCCCGTTCACTCACAGAGAATATCCATCCCCGTGAATGACAACTCTCAGATTTATGAGTCCAGCCCAGATCTGCAGTCCACGCTCAGACCCATATATCCGCCGGCCTCCCTGACACGGCTCCCTGCACGGCCCATGTTGGTTCTGATGGAATGCGGCCAGAGCAGGACTATTGATCGCCTGCGCCCGCCTCCCAAATGTGGGCACCCACGTCCTGCCAGCAGCGCCCTGGACTGGCCTTGGCTCCCACCCCCGCCCCCTTCATCTGGCAATCGCTGTCATTCCTACCTCCCAGGATATTTCAAGCTCTTCCCCTTTTCCCAGCACTGCCACAGGCTCCGGACAGCCTCCGCTCTCTGTCACCTCACCTGCTCCTGCGACTCTCATCTCTGATCACAGAAGTCAGAGCGTGCCGTCCTGCCTGCAGCCTTCTGTGGATGCCCACCGTCAGGGAGCCTAGCCCAGGGGTCTCTTCACGTCCTGGCAGGTGTGGCTCCCAGCCTGGGGCCTGCCTCTTGCCTCCCCTCTCGAGTGGTTCTGCAGCCTGCCCCCTCTAAGCTGTTCATCTTAAAGGCAACTCCTTGGAGACAGCTTCTCCACCTACTCCTGTCTGTTTCCCTGGGGAACCACGGCTTCACCAGGCAGACACAGTGGGTGTCTTTGTTCCCGCCTGTCTTCTCCCTACCCAGTGCCCAGTAAGTGCTCAAAGAATGCTTGCACAGCAGAGGGAAGAGAAGGAGCCTGGGGAAGGTACAAGGGTGTTGCTGGGGGCTGAACAGAAGGTGGGTTGTGCCACCAGGCTCCTGCTTGGTCTTTGGCTCTCC